TAGGCCACTAAATTGCCAGACTGAATGTTTTGTGTTTCGTTCATCTGGCCAGGGTGACAATGCAGCGAGAGAGCTCGACTCGCACTGATCCCAGTCAGGGTTAGTGCAGCCATTCCTCTGGGTTGACAACGAATACCGGCACCTCTTGCGAGGTCAGCAGGAGTGTTCATCCTGTGGAAAGACCTTTGCCTGCCATGATAATGTGGAGATTTCAACCCAATCCTCGCCCAGCAGTGCGTAAGAATTCGACTTTTCTTTGTTAAATAAAAACAGAGTTTGTGATTACTATCCTATGCAAAAATGAACGCTAGCCAAGTGCTGTGATGAGCACCTTCCGTGGAACCCGCTGGTGGTCCAGCAACTTAAGAGGAAGGGACCCGTGGATCACACGCACACAGCAACCGCGTGTGATGCGCAGGGCAACAGGTGAGTGCCCGTAGAAGACCCCACGGCTGGAGGATTGCTCGGATCACCTAAACGGCGTGCTCCCCTTGCTGCGGGGCTTCTTTAGATTATATTCTTGTGCACGATGGCAGCGCCCGTTCGAGAGCTCGATGCCAAAGTCAAGGTCTGCTCTGCTGCTGTTCACGACGAGAGGGATTCAGCAGAGATAGTTCGTGTCGTCTTGCTGTTCCTCCTCCTCTGTTGAAGAAGCGCAGACTAAGGTGGTTTACTACGCGATCCATAGTTTGGGATTTCTTAAGGTAATGTGACCTCATCCTTACTTGAAGAAAAAAAATCGATAAAATATCTCAACATCCCACGAAGCACCCTCCTGAGAAGGCATCTGGAGACCACGTGGGGTTTTTCCTGGATACGCTACCGACACAGCGTATATTTGTAACGATGATGACGAGATCTTTACTGTGGATGCTGACCCTTAATTTAAGTCTGAATCAGATACTAGTCCCAGTGTGAAGGGATGTGTTTACTACGCCGATTTCACACCCGCACGCAGCAAGTACAGGGACAGCTTCTGGGCGCAGAGTTCTGTCTGATTCGGAGCATTATTCTATATCACACCTCATGATAGAATCATAAGGGTCGTTAATTAAACCCATTTTACAAAGGTGGCAAAACATCAATACATTATATATAGAGTGCATCAGTAGCATGTACATTGCTTATTCTGTAAATCACAAATCTGTGTAATATGTTCATAAATGCAAAGCTAGGTCACCGCCTGCTCCCCTCCGATGGCTTCTTCATGTCTCGTTGTGAACTACAGCTCGCGAGCTGCAGTTCACGCCGGCTGGTGTGAACTACAGCTCGCGAGCTGTAGTTCACACTCGCGAGCTGTAGTTCACGCCAGCTGTAGTTCACGCCGGCTGGTGTGGATGATGGCACGCACGCAGACGCGACAACGCACGGCGCAGGTTTCGCTTCCACGGGGCTGACCCCGGCACTCTGACCCCACGCCGGCACCTGTGTGCGCAGCCAGTGCCGGATTAAGCTCGTGCGGGGCCTGTATCATATGATGTCATAAAGGGGCCCTAAATAAACAAAAAAACCCACAAATATTAAAACACAAATTTGTAACTTGCATTTTTCATTTGCTATACAGCCAGATAATACGACAAATTGCTGCTAACCTTAAACGCCCAGTCGTTCATAAAAGTTTGAAGGCAGTATAGTACTATAGTAATAGAGCAAGTGCAGAATCACTGGACCGGAATTGATAGCTTGAAAGCATTTAGCGCGGCGCCCTTGAAAGTGCAAGGCCCGTAGCTACTACATATGTAGCTACTTTTGCTACTACGATAATCCGGCACTGTGCCAAGCTGTGATTTGTTGATGAGTACCAAGACTGAAAGCAGCGCCGAGTCTGCAATGTTGCACAACTGCCAAATAAAATACCGACTTTGTTGATCAGACTCGCCCATTTGTCTGCTAAGTATCGTGGTGGCCACTGCCATCACCTGACACGATGGAGAGCAAAATCAGAAGCGGACATCGGAGGGGTGACTCCGATCTTGCACCCCTCGGGTATCTTGAGTGTGCCGACAGTTCGCTTCACACCCTAGATGTGAATTACTCACGACGGTCACCGTGATGACTCCAGGTCTCATGATGAACATTTCCCGTTATCCCTGAACCGGTGTCGGTAAACCAATTTAAAGTCGGCATCTCCCCACTCAAATTAACAATTGGACGGCACTCATCCATTTGGAGGCCCTGAGCTAGTGGTGGAAATTCCACATTCCCATAGCGGGAGGCCCATAAATTGGTGTGTTTAAAATGGGCATTTATATTAAGGACAATTAAATGTTGAGAGTACAGCGACGTTTTCTCACCCTTCACCTCTCATCCATGACCCCTGTCGTGTTAACGGTGCTGATGAACGGTCAAGGCCTATGGAGCATCTATTCTGCATCAGTAGCACAGACCCGGGTGCCACGTGGGGGACACGACACACAACTTATTTGTAGTCAAGAGGGAAGTAGAGGGGAGGAAGTCCCAGGATGTCTGTAAACTAGTTTTATTTAACCAGGTAAGGCCCACTGAGCTATGTAACTCTATTTCAGAAGTGACCTGGCCACAAATGATAGCTCAACAAAGTGGCTTATCATGTGGAAATGTATTGCAATGAAATACTACAAGCACGCGTTTCTAAACGCGGAGGGAAAACCAGGAGGAACCGGAGATAAATCCACGCGAGTACACGGAGAGAGAGACATGCAAAACTCCAAATATACAACAGGCGCCAGGGTCGGGATCGAACCACGGAGGGGACAGGGCGCTCCGTGTGGCAGGACGACAGGGAAACGCAATCGTTACCACGGCGAGACGAACGGAGGTGAACGGAATCGTGCGAGAGCCGTCGGTAGAGCAGCCACCACAGCTGGGTCAGTATGGGGGGAGGAAAGGGGGGGAGGTAATGGATCTGTGATGAAATACAGAGGCCGCAAGGCAGACTCGGCTGGGTCATCAATAATGGCTATAGCTCTCCAATGTGTTCTCGGGTCGTACCGCGTGTTAATTTTTTCTTTCGGGCATGATGTCCGACGTTTCGCTCCGTTTGCTGGGAGCCTCTTGAGGGACTCAGTTTGTGAAGCTCAAAGCGCGAAGAGCGAGAGACGCTGGACATATTTGCCAGAAAGGCACCGGTGGAGCTACGGAGCACAGACGCGAACACGCACGCAGTGATGGTGAGGTTGATGGTCCGCTTGTGTTTCCATGTTCTACCAAAAGCGTTGTAGATGCAAACGAGTTTGACAAACGGCTCCCAAATGCACGGGATCTGTGAATAATTCCCTCTCCAACATACAGACACCCCCTCTTCCCTGAGAATGTGTAGTTAGACTGATGATACAACAACAAACACACATCCTCAAGGCCATGGTGACGTGACAATTAGTGTAAGCTCGGAATCAAACAGGACAAGAGAGTGTTGGAGACGTCATCGGGAACACGTGGGCCGTGCGTCACGGGATCGAGGTCGGTCTCCAAGGGCAAAGCCGGCAACACAAGGAGACTGCAGTGCCAGAGGACCGCGTAGATCACCTACAAGGTCCCTTCTGACGACGAAGTGGTCGCGAGGAATGGTGCCATCAAGGGCATTGGCTACGACGGCTTTGTGACGTTGCTGCCCGACATCATCAGGTGAGAGGAGTCAACGTCAGTCAGTCAGCGGACTCCTATTGGCTATCCACGGCGCAACCAAATATCGACGTGGACTGCCTGCGTGGGGCAACCGCGTCTGGGTCGCTGGTGGGCCACTCGCAGACCAAGTGGCCCCACGTGGCCGCAAGTCTGGGCGGACGGCCCCGGCCCGCTGACCAGCTCGCTCACCCCTAGGCCTCGGCAAGGTAAAGCAATTGACCCTTTTTACCAGGTCAAAGGGTGAAGGTGTCGACCATGCCAAGGGGTAAGGTAAAGGGTAGGGTAAAGGTAGCACGAAGTATTAGCAAGTACCTTGTTTACCGCTCACTAACAGCTCCGTGGCGCAGTCCATGGCCTCCATTTGAAATTGGAATCACGGAGAGTATTCTAAATGAATAAAACGCTCTACCTAGCATTTACCTGTTATAAACCTTGTTCATGTGTAGTAGTACCCCATTAATTACCCTGCATTCGGGTAATTTGTATGGGGTAAGCGTAAAAGGTAGGGTAAAAGTAGGCTCGTTGTTTTTGCCTTTTACCTTGCCGTGGCCTACTCACGCCAGCGAGCCCTCACTCGCTTTGCATCCCGTCATTACGCGCGCGTGCGTCTGTGCGTGCACCTTGCCGGTAACTTAACACGCGCCCTGCTCTCACACTCTATAACAGTGCAAAACGGGCTGCTTGCCGATGCGTCGTTGATACAAATATAGTTCGTGTTCTTGTGTGCGCGCGAGACACGCGTGTGACTGTCAAGCAAATGTTACAGTGGCTGTGTCAGGCGATATAAACGAGGGTTACGTCTAACGTGAGGCTACAGTGAGTGGCGAGTCAAGGATAGAGTTAAAGAGACGTGGAAAGACGGGCAGCTCTAGGAACACGCCGCGGGGCGAGCGAGAGACCGAGCTGCATGCACCACCCGACGTGAAGGGTCACTTCGGGCTCCCAAAGCAGAGTCAAGCGCTTGCCCGCACCCTCCACACCTCCTGGATAATAAGCACGGATGGAAGGGATAGACCACGGCACAACACAGAGGGGTTGTTGCCTGCTGGCGAACTTTGGCCAAGACCTGTTGTTGACTTAGGGAGAAAGGAAATGTAAACGAGACACGACCTTACCACGCCTCGGTGTTATAGACGCAGCGAGTAGGCTACGGCCAAGGGTGAGGGAAACGTGCGGAAATCGAAACAGGGTCACATGGTCACGGGGGGGACGAAGTCGAGAGGGACGTTTTGGGGTGCACAAAAAAATACTTGAAAACGCCAAAGTTATGTTTCCATAAAACAACACGTGCTTGTGTTAGCTACAGTCAATAATTAGTCATTACCACACAATTGCGCCCAATTTAATAGCATTCTGTCACATACCCCAACACTGGCACTCGATAATTCAGACCGTGGTAAAGATGTACATTTATTCAGTGCGACGTCGTATCAATGAGCTTTGGGCCATCAACACTGGCCCACTGATTATATCCAACATCGGACTTGGCATGTACAGAATACGATTCCAATGTAACGCAAGAGGACAAACGTTGACGCTAACCCAGGAACACGAATCAACCTCAGAGCGCTCCGCACACGCTGGCTGAGCAGTCTGTGCCCAAACACAGAGAGCCGTGTTGGGGGTGGGAACCATTCTGCTGTTGTGTGCAAGTCAACGCGACAACGCTTACATTCCAAAACCCATTTTACACACAACACAATAAAACGTTCGATTTTAACTGTTATTTCGCTATTATCTAAATCGAATTTCTGCACGCACTTTTTTCAAGCCAATACTGCCGCCTGTATAATTCGCGTTTATGGAAACATAATGGGAAGAAAAAATAAACACAGAAGCAGTTTGTTTCCACGATAAAGAAATGGAAAAGACCACGTGACCATGCCGCATCACAGAGGCCATCGCCACAATTCGGACGCGCCCGCACGAGGAACACCGCGAGATTCCGATGAGGTATACAGCCGGGTCTCAACATGCTCACCCCTAGCAGCACCCACGAGGTCGTGGCACTGCGGCGCGCGCGTGCCGCCACGCACAAACGACAACTCTTGAATTCAAACGACGCCCCCCGAGCGCGTGGACGACCGGCAACGCCCAAACCGAACCGCGTCTACCAGCGGCGTCTACAACCTCCTCCGCCTCAGCCACGCTGCGGCCGAGCCGCGAGAGGAAAGGCCGGCGTCTAACGAGTCCGGTCTGGACTTGGCACGCCAATTCGCCGGTGGAAAACCACCCGTGCCGTGGAGGTCCCCCGTGCTGGCTGGGATCGGACGCGCCAGCGTGAGAGCGGCATCGCACGTGGCGGCGGCGGAGGCGGCGTTCCACCCGGTGTGGTGCAATGATGCCACAGGATGTATCGCTAAATGTTGTCAGGGCCACCGGAAAATGTAACACACCGCCTAGCCTGGTGGATGAGCTCCATTCGTAATCGGCTAGGCTATAGGTCATTACATAGCAATCGATCGACCAATTTAATTGGGTTAAATCATCTTTAGCATCTTCATAGTGCCGCTCGTCCTCAGGCTTCGAAGGGCTCACGCACAATTACAGCGCTGTCATGCAATGATAATTAGATTCAGTAAAAGAGAAATCAAAACCTCCACACTACAAGAAAAAAATAGAATCTCACAAAATGTCAATTACAGTGTTCAGGTCTATTCTGCTTTGTCCAAATCTAAATACGCAGACTGGACCATTACTTTACAGTCAACTAATGAGCGAGACCTATATTATGACGCTGTAAATGGTATCAGTAGCTTATTTATTGTCTTTTTCATCCAAACCTATGCAGAAAACGTCTGTCCTTTCCTATGTCTTTGGTAAAAGTTTAAATACATATTTGTTCGGCAAGGAAATGAGATACACTGCAAGACGGCATCTCATCGGGGCCTGGGCAAGGAGGAAAGGCCTAGTTTGAGTATCACCGATGTGTGAGACACGACACGGAAGTCTAAAACCACAGTACGCACTACAGTATGCGCACAATATTTACTCACTTCAGTGCATGCCGACCGCGATTGGTTAAAAGTTTAAGTGAACAAGTAATTAAATACAAAGTGCACTCCGCCCTCGCCTACAAGGCTGGTGGACGTGCGCCGCGATGCCCGCACGTGCGACCTCTGGGCTGGCGAGGTGGCGGCGGCGGCGATGCCCATTAGTGGCGGGCACCACAGTGCCAACCAGACGATCGTCCCAGTGCCGTCGTGAAGACGGGGGAGGGGTAGCACTGCGTCCCATCTCCCTGCCTCGGCAGCAAAAAAAAGACTCGATCGTCCCCTCCAGCCGGAGCTCATCGCCCGTGGAATCCAAAGCCAGCAGCATCTTGGAAGAGTCCAGGTCGAGCTGGGAATGCCTTGGGAGCCCTTCAAGATCACTCTCGATGGAATATTATCCGAACTGCAAGACGCACGCTTCCTGTAATTCATTAATGAGTGGAAAGCTCAGACTTGAAGAACCTTTGTTGAAATATCTCACTTGCAAGATGCAAACCAGTGGACATGTTTTCTTAAGGACTCCCAGGCTCGAGGCTTTGTTGAAACGGGAGGCCGCGTCCTGCACGCGTTGTTGAGAAGAGACGACGGGTCATGAAAACCGTTTGCCCGGCTACAAGTCCACGGAAGCGAGAGCCGGGGTTGGCCGTCACGGTGCCGGGAACCGACCTCCCCCGGGAGACGCATGGGGTTAAAGGGAAGCCCAGGCAAAGGGACTCGTTACTCGAATGGGATCCAGACTTTTAATCAATTAATTCATTCACCATTAATGTGGGACACACAGCCACAAGCTAGAAGCCACGTCGTGGAAAACGGAGCCCGGGCTTGCGCCTCCACGGTGTGGAAGCAGAGACTGGACTCGAAGACTTGAGGAGGCACCACTGAACCGAGAGGCGGGCACGAGAAAAGACAAACGGTGACATCGGTCTCCCCCCACAGAAGCTCGGGAGATGCATCGCGTGACACGGACTCCTCGGGGGAAGCGCTGCTCAAGAGAAACCACCGTTGAGAGACGGTCGGCCGCCCGGCTCAGTCCTCCTTCTCGCGGGTCCACTTGATCATGGTCTCGGGCGAGCGGTAGAGGAAGATGAGCTTGGCGTAGAGGTCCTCCTCCAGCTGCAGCTCGCCCGTCTCGCGCACCAGGAAGATGTCGGTGCACAGCTTGAGGACGCGGTCCACGTTGGGCAGCTCCTCGAACATGATGGAGTGCGAGATGCCGCTGAAGAACTCGCGCACGAACTTTCCCACGACCAGCACCACGGAGGCGTACAGGCCCAGGATGCTACGGGGGGTTGGGTGAGCCGTCGTCGCCAGAAGGGGTGAGGAGTCGTGAAAAATATACGGGGGGGGGGGGCAGTGGAGGGGGGGGAAACAAAGGTTAAGGTCAGGTGAGAGGTTGAGCCGTGTGTGTGATGACATACGCCGGGAGAGCAGCGTCTTAAGAGGTGGGGCTGGTGGATCATCTCTCAGAGGTGGATAGATTAATGAGATGGAATCTTTACTACTTCATTTGCTTCTTAAAAAAAGCCATTTGCTTCTTAAAAAAAGCTATTTGCTGTAACATTCGCCCACTGTATATTTTCTGTTATCAGGCAGCAGCTACAACGATTAAGAGGACTTTGCACTTAGGTTAAGCCCAGTGATCATAGACGGTGACAGGCGGTCACAGACACTCCGACTCCGTACTTGTGAGCTCCGTTCCGTGCCGGAAACCCAGAAACTAAGCACCCCTCATGCATCACGTGACTTCTCTGCCTCATTTACATTTTTATCCAAGCTTTTCTCACTTTTTTTTTCGGAGGGAAATGCTATATCCTCCTTAGACAAACATGAAGAAAGGACATTGCATATTATTATCAGAGTTGCCTTTTTGTTTGCATTTTGACTGCTTGTGTTGCGGTTATTGCAGACATGATGCCTTGAATAAAGGTGTCAGTTTTTTGTGCCAATTAAAAGGGTAAAACCTATTCCTATGAAGAAAGTTATTGAGATCGTTTAATTTTGTCTAATCAGAGCCCGGTCTGTTGGCGCCTGCGTACAGCGGCCGTGACCTGCAAGTCGCAAGGTTTGCAGGTCACAAACGCCGGTGGAAGGGGTCAAACCAGAGCCCTCCGTCCCACCCTGGGACTTCAACAGATAGTGGCCTCCCGCCATCATCAGGTCGCCCCGGGAGCAGCGCCGGCGCAAGCGGTGCCGAGGAGCAGGCGCCGGCGCCTCCTTCGTACCCGTAGCCGGCCAGGAAGCCCAGGCTGGGAGGGCTGACGCGGTCGCTGAACACGATGATGCGGATGTCGTCGCAGCGCCTGCCCGGGCAGTCGCTGCGCAGCTGCCGCAGGCTCCACCACTCGGCGTGGCTGCTGCTCGCCGGGGAGCCCTGCCTCAGCACCAGCTCCACGTCGGAGTAGCTGCGCTCGCCCTCTGGGTGGGGTGGGGGGATGGGGGTGGCGGAAGGACGCGGGATGCACGACAACGGCTCCAGCGAGTGCGGGGAGGCTTCTCGGCCTCGTGGTTTTCACTTGACTCAGGCAAACACGACTTGTTGCTTAATTCCGCCGAGCCAAGTGCCGGCGGCTCTGATTGGATGATTGTCTCATCGCAGGGACGCCATGTTGGCGAGATGTTAACTACCTCGTCTGGTATACAAGAGGTCGTGGGTTCGATCCCGATGCTGACGCCTGCTGCAGTATATTTGGAGTCTGCGTCTCTCTCTTATCATCATCACAGTGGCTATAAGATGTTAACTACCTCGCCTGGTATACAGGAGGTCGTGGGTTCGATCCCGACGCTGACGCCTGCTGCTGCTGTATATTTGGAGTCTGCATCTCTCTCTTATCATCATCACGGTGGCTAGATGTTAACTACCTCCCCTGATATACAGGAAGTCGTGGGTTCGATCCCGACGCTGACACCTTCTGCTGTATATTTGGAGTCTGCGTCTCTCTCTTATCATCATCACGGTGGCTAGGAGATGTTAACTATCTCGCCTGGTATACAGGAGGTCGTGGGTTCGATCCCAACGCTGACACCTGCTGCTGCTGTATATTTGGAGTTTGTATTTTCTCCCCGAGTCCTCCGTTTTTTTTTCCTCCAAATTTAGAAACATTTAGAAATGTGTATTTAGAGTTTTTGGCTGCTATACATTTCCACATGATAAGACACTTTTTTGAGCTATCATTTGTCGTCAGGTCGCTTCTGAACTAGAGCTACATAGCTCAGTGCGCCTTACCTGTTTAAATAAAAACGTGTTTAAATAGCTTTAGTAATCTGCCGCACCTTCACAAAATAGAGGCGAGTTTGGTTGGATTGGCAGCAAGGCTTCTGATCGTATTGGATGATGAAGTCGCAAATATTTCCCCGGGGGCACACAAACAGTGGTGCAAGCAGGGTGGTGTTGACGACCCCGTTTTGTTTAAAATGACAAATTGCCGAAGGCTGGCATGCGACGACCCTTCACGGTAGATGCAGGACAGGTAGTGGGGGTCCAGGTGTGAGGCCTGGGCGCGAGGACTCGTGGGAGTCACCTGGCAGCATCTGTCGCACGGGTGTTGAGTCCGGGCCACCGGGCGCTTTCAGGTACGGAGGGAAAAGGTTCTTGATCAGCCTGCACACACGCGAAGCAAACAAAGACAAAGATTCCCCGTATAGCCTTAACAGGCTGTTAGGGCAAGTGCTGTTAGCGAGTACCTATGAATGCCAGCACGGCACACGAGGGGGTGGGGTGCCCAACACCACGCCCGACCGCCTTTGTATCCCCAGTGGGGATGATTAGAACAACACACCAGGTACTCATTTGAGGCTGAGTCGACCAAGGGGAGGCCCAGGACCTGTTCAAATAATCGTCACCGGTGTTGGCCGTGAGCGGGAATGGAACTCGGGCCGGCGAGTTTGTAGCGCAGCGCGCTGAGTGCTAACACGTGTCCAAAGCACTGGCACACATACTGATACTTGACTGTGAGTGAATCACTTAGGCAAACATTATTGCTGATAAATGTTTGTTTATTTACCCTTTAAGAAAGATCGGTTTAAAGCTTAAAGGGTTAAGGTCTTTAAGGCAGTAAAACATGTGTTGTGTTAAGATGTTAAAACACCAAACTGAAACCTTTTGCAAGGAATCGTGTCACTGCATTAACCACAAATATACTACCAGAGCATCGTTTTTGTTTCCATGTTCACCACAAGTATAAGATGATGCATTGTCTTTGAAACTGATTGGTCCACACCAGAGACAGCTTTCTTTAGAGCCTAGTCTCAAACAGTGTTAGACCAGAGAATGCCCAAAAGGCGAACAGCACAAAGACAATGCCACTATCAGGGCATTCATAGCTCGGGGTGAGGTTTTTTTTGAAATGTAAATATCAATGCCACTCAAGGGGCTATACAAAGATTGTACAAAGAAATTTAAAGATTCAATAATGTAAAATACCGACTGGCAAAAATACACTCAAAGGCAAGCAATTAGGAAGTAGTGAGTGTTGCATATCCCCTCGTGAACACACGGAGACTCGGAGCACACCGAACAGCAGGTATCCAGTAGCGATTAGAGGGGTCGAGAGGAGGTGGGAAGGGAGGATAGACGATGGAATGGTAGGAATGATGGTGGTGATGGTGAGCTGGAGCCGGAGCGTAGAGTGAAAAGAGGTTGATGTGCAGTAGAGGGAGGAAAGTACATGAACTCCTCTACTTACGAACATTCGACTTACAAACTTTCAGAGATAGGAACAAACCTGTCCGTATGTCCGGCTGCCCGTTCGGACCGAGAATCATAAGTTCAACCGTCGCACAATAGATGGCGGTGATTGTTCGGTGTCATTACCCAGAATTCCTAACATTCCTGCCTGGGCCACCGCAAGTGTCTGTTGTTGTGTTGTTGCTGTGCGGTTTACTACGACGTTCTCTCTGATTTTCACAAACATTATCAACCCCCATCATGTCTCAGAAGCATCTACATCTACAGAACGTGAAGAACCAGTGGCATCTACATCTACAGAACGTGAAGAACCAGTGACATCTACAGAACGCGAAGAATCAGTGGCATCTACATCTACAGAACGTGAAGAACCAGTGGCATCTACATCTACAGAACGTGAAGAACCAGTGGCATCTACAGAACGTGAAGAACCAGTGGCATCTACATCAACAGAACGTGAAGAACCAGTGGCATCTACATCTGCAGGAAGTGAAGAACCAGTGGCATCTACATCTGCAGAACATTAAGATCAGTAGTATCTACATCTGCAGAACATGAAGAACCAGTGCCATCTACATCTGCAGAACATGAAGAACCAGTGGCATCTACATCTGCAGAGCGTGAAGAACCAGTGGCATCTACATCTGTAGAACATGAAGAATCAGTGGGATCTACAGAACATGAAGAAGCAGTTGCATCTACATCTGCAGAACATGAAAATGAAGAACCAGTGAGTAGTTCAGGGTGCAGAATGAATGGTGCAGGGTGCAGGCCATACACAGCCCTGTGCGTGCTGTTGTCCTGCAGCATGGCAGCGATCTGTGCGCGTGCCGGGTGAGTGGCGTTCATCTCAATGGTGTGCTTCTCGCGCGTCACCTCCGACTTCCCCCCCATCTTCGGGTCACTGCGGACACACGGGGACACGGACGAGGCGAGGTGTGGTACGGTCGAGTATGGTCGGTGAGCCACGGTGTAGTATGGCACGCGAAGGTATGGTGCCACGGGTATGGCATGATTTGGCATGTCATGGTACCGTGTGGTATGGCCGTGAAGAGTGCAATAATAAAGCGACGCGTAGCGAAGCATATTACGTACGTATGTTTAACTTCTTTCGCACCAAACGTAACCAACCGTGCTATTCAGAGGTGCGTTAGAGCGCATACTGTCTGACGGGCACGGCCAAGTGTGGCTTGGCGTGGCATGGCAGGGCCTGAGGCAGTGACGTGCGGAGTGAGGGGCGCGCGATGATGGCGGGGCGTGTGGAGTGCCCACCGCTGTATTTTCCAGTAGAAGCGCAAGGTGATGCCGGACGCGTTGCTAAGCAGCTCCTGGATGAGTTTGTTGCGGCTGGGGGGGCTGATCCCCCACACGGCCGTCGAGTTCCCGGCCAGTCGCGCCGTCGTTATGTCCTCTGCCGAGTAGACGGTGATGAACTGCATCGCCGACTGTGCCGGGTAAACCACGCCGCGGTTAGAGCGCTCGCCTCACGCTCGGGACGCAGGTTCACATCCCGCTCGGCCCATCGTCCCTTCAGGGGTTTTAAAGAGTATCAATTTATGGATAGACATCACCATCGTCATCGGTTTCATATTAATAACGCACCTCCTGTGTAGTACATCTCACGGCGCCGTGCCACAGAGGACCCCCAGTGGCAGCTGTCCCTACGTAGCACAAAGTGAAGGCAACGCTTGCCGGCAAGTGCGCATTAGCCTGCCAGCAGGGGACGATGTGTTGCTGCGTGGATTCCCGATTTAGTAATATTGATCAAATTTTGACCAACATATGTCATGGGATCTTTACGTACACTGTGCAGCAGACGGCGCAAGTGTGATGGTGAACACACAGGCCGCAGTATTAACCAGGGAGGCCTCGGTATTAACCAGGGAGGCCTCGGTATTAACCAGGGAGGCCGCAGTATTAACCAGGGAGGCCGCGGTATTAACCAGGGAGGCCGCAGTATTAACAAGGGAGGCCGCGGCATTAACCAGGGAGGCCTCGGGGCTCAACCGCGAACCTCTGCAACGAGCGGCACAATGCACTCGAGGTGGGCCACGCCATTGGCTCACAGCAGTGGTCATGCTATGGATGGACTGATCCCGACGAGGGAATGTGGAATTTCCGCCACTGGATCGGGACCAAACCGGGAGGTGAGTGCTGCCTGGTTGTTGGTTTCTAGAGGGAGACACTTCGACGTCATCCTCGAGGGGCAGCTGGCAAACTTATGGGCACGTAATGGGCACTTCAAAGCCGTTAAACGAGCACCTCTGAGAATCTGGGTTTGAATCCTTGACGGGGCCTGCATGATGAGGCTCGCAGGGAGAGGCTGGGTGTGCCGTACCGCTTGGTTCCCGAATGTGTTGGTGAGTTTCTTGTATTCCGTCTCGGAGAAGCGAACCAGGGACTGCTGCTGGGCACTCATCATGTACAGCGGCTGTGGGAGAGAGACACAGAGATACGCAGAGAAAGATGTGGGCGCTCATCATGTACAGCAGCCGTGAGATACAGCAGCCGTGAGATACAGCAGCCGTGAGACACAGCAGCCGTGAGGCAAAGGAGCCGTGAGATACAGCAGCCGTGAGATACAGCAGCCGTGAGGCACAGAGAGAGAGAGTGACGCGGGCGCTCATCATGTACAGCAGCTGTGAGATTCAGAGGGAACATTTTACATTTATTCAAAAAATTATGAAGGGGAAAGATGACCATTTAACATGGTAGTTTCAGCGACCGGTAAAACGAATCACATTGTGTGCCCCGATGATCCTACAATGCAAATAATCATCATAATGCAAAGTGATGTTACATTCAAACGTATATCCAGCAAAACAAGTGTGAATTGAATCAATCATAAAAGTATAACATACCGTTTTTATGCGTGTATGTTGAACTGCTTTCGCACTGTACGTTGCCAATCTCACTAATCGAGGCGCGGTGTACAGTAAACAAAAAGGCTCTCATGTCGCTGTTGCTGCCACAGCGGCGCAACGGTCGGCGTGCCGAGAGGTCGCAGGTTCCACTTGCCGGCGGGGCCATTGAAACAACGGTGCAGATTTCTGAACCCGAACCCGTGGCCTCAGGGGGCCGTGGCCTCAGAGATCGCTGCGCCCGACTGGGTGCAGGGCGAACGCTTATTTCGTTCCACTGCAGCCCGGTGGCTAGATGGCTTGTGTTAGTAGGCCTAGTGTTGGCATTCAACACCAGGCTCAGGGTTGAGGGCTTATTGTGTCGATGAGGATTAAGGAGACCGGTGAGCAGTTAGGTAACAGAAAAAAATATGAAGGTGGAGCCCTGTAATTCCTTGCTCAAGCCACGGCTGGCTGAAGGAACTCCACCAGAGGGAGCTCTAGAGAGCCACTCAATAAGTTATTTGGTGTACTCTTCCACGCTGCTCAGGCATTTTGGAAGAGGTGGAAGTTCCTAGCGTTCTTCCCCGCTCCTACTAGACATCTGTCCATCGAGCAGTGCTACTGGGTCCACCACAGTGAGTCCATCTGCAGGGCGCGTGCGGTGGGGTAAAGTGTGGGCGTGCTCCCATCGCTTTTGAGACGTCCGGCCAATGTGAAAAATAGTTGGACGAAATACGGCCTTCTGGAGCTCCGTCGAGAGCGGGAGGGCCTTCTGCCAGCGTGGTGCGAGTGAGCCACTGGGAGCTGTGCACTTTGAAATCATCTATGATTTAAAACAAATTTCTTTAAAACTGATTTTCCTGATTAGTTTGTTGTCCTGGCCCCGCAACTCGGATTAGCGTGGTTTGCGAAATACGGTGCGTGAAAGAAGTTCAACATACACACTGACATACATGCAAGAAATTACAGGGCTGCACCTTAAACCTTTTAATCGGTGATCAGACATTGACGGCATCGCGAACGCAAACCACCCCCCAATGCCGTCCGGCGGCCACCACCCCCCCTCCCACGCGCCCAACTCCACCTCGTATCCGCCAAGAGAGAGCGACACGGAGACGTCGATGGGCGGGTTCACGACCCCGGCCACCGACTTGACGAGCGACATGAAGAGCAACGGGAACCACACGATGCAGATGAGGAGGAAGACCATCATGCCACCCATTCCGTACTTCACCATCTTCTTCTTCTTCTGCCCGCGCGGCTGGGGGTACCTCTGTGAGCGCGGGGGGCAAAGGGCAGAGCGGAGCGTGCACGGCAGGGCTCGCACCAACGGCCACATCCGAGCGCGCACGAAATATTTTCGGTTCACGTTCCTTTAATTATTATGATTTTCAATTGCTTTGTTTCACACTAATGTCAGACAGAAGTGTAAATACCGTGTTTTTGTATTTATTACAGTATGTGTGGAACTCTCACAGATAGCAGTGTGACATCACATCATGCCTGATGACAGTCCCTGCAACACGATGCCATAGAACTTACTCGAATGACTTCAGCGGGCACCTGATCCACATTAAGTGGTGGAACTTTCTTTGTCAACCCCGCAAAGGTGTGTCTGCCACGTGGCCACTCCAAACTAAGGATACATAATCGCAATATGCCAACGAGGGCCAAACAAAAACTTGGGACTACGACGGATATTTTGGGCAGTCATTGGCGACCGGGTCGAGGCCGTGGACTGCGTAGGCCAGAGGGGCCGCCGTGATCACGTGTGCCTCAATCCTCTGACATCAGCACGGGGCTCGCTTTACCCTATCGTAACCAAGACCAGACTCTCCCGGTCTAAAAGTACATTTTTCATTCTGCATTATGTTTCATCTGACACCAAAAGAGTTGCGTCAGCACTGCAATATTTACAATGTTATACAATGTTAACGAAGAGCGCGGGGTCGCCCCCCCACCCTGTACTGCGAACGGTGAACCGGCCGATGCAATCGGCGACCCTTGCCCTATCGGGGCACGTCAGGACTAGCGGCTGGCGTGGCCAAGCGAGCCCATTCCGTATGAATCGAAAACGCGCGATCCCCGCACGCCCACGATCCGCTGCGCCCCACCTTCTCGGACTCGCGCCAGCACTTGAGAATGAAGGTGTTGGCATAGATGTCCTCGATGCAGATCCAGCTGGAGAGGCTGAGCGTGGTGTCCGTCCACACCCAGTCCATGATAGCGCGCAGCTCGATCAGGAAGGGTACCAGGCGGAACCTGCTCACGTACGCACGAGGGAGCGGGGCGGGGGAGCGCGTCGACGCTTCCTCCGTGGGTTGCCGCCATCGCGCTGCGCAGCGCTCCGACGCGCGTTGGGGGATCGGGCGGCGCATCGTTCAGAACGATGTCTGACATTTCGCTTCCACGTGCCCAGGAGCCTCTCCAACAACTGCAATGAAGAAGCTCCCGGCGCGCGGAGAAAAACCGCGCGTGAAATCGTGCCGAACGGCGCGGCGTACGAGCCGATTGAGCATTTTTACGTCTAGATTGAAAACTAATTTCTTTCAAACTACTTTTTATGTTTAGTTTGTTGTCCTTTCCCCGTACATCCGATTAGCAGGCTTGGCTACATACGGTGTGAAAGAAGTTAAACGTACGTACATACATCGGGGAGCCAACATTGATGCTCCCCACTTCCCTCCAGCGACGGTGGGAAGGTGGGGGTCACAGGAAGGTCATCTCAGCTCACAGCTGCTACACTGGGAGAGTCGTACAATATGTAGAGACTCATATGATTGACCATAAATCATCAACCATGCTCTATCCACTGCTAGGCCTCATCCTTCATCTCGAAAATACGAGCATCTGTTAGATTGTTTCGTAATCCAGAACGGCCATAAGTATTATAAAGTATAGGGGGGATGATGTTGTTATTGCTTCGTGGTTTAGTGATACAGAAAATCAAAATGTTCATAGGCGAGATAAGACATTTGCACCAGGGTGGTAAAATTATTGAAGCAATAAATGTGGCTATCACCTGCAAGAAGGTTCTTTGGTTCCAAAAAAAATCCAAGCCCTGCCCCCACTGCAGGCCGTACCAACGAGCAAAACGTTTACCTAGGCCATGGTCTCACTGGGCCGTGGCCTCACGGTGCCGTGGCCTCAGGGGGCCGTGGCTTCACGGGGCCGTGGCCTCAAGGGGCCGTGGCCTCAGGGGGCCGTCTCCTCACGGGGCCGTGGCCTCACGGGGCCATGGCCTCAGGGGCCGTGGCCTCAGGGGGCCGTGGCCTCAGGGGCCGTGGCCTCAGGGGGCCGTGGCCTCACGGGGCCGTGGCCTCAGGGGGCCGTGGCCTCAGAGATCGCCGCGCCCGACTGGGTGCAGGGCGAACGCTTATTGCGTTCCACTGCAACCTGGTGGCTAGATGGCTTGTGTTAGTAGGCCAAGTGTTGGCATTCAACACCAGGCTCAGGGTTGAGGGCTTATTGTGTCGATGAGGATTAAGGAGACCGGTGAGCAGTTAGGTAACAGATAAAATATGAAGGTGGAGCCCTGTAATTCCTTGCTCAAGCCACGGCTGGCTGAAGGAACTCCACCAGAGGGAGCTCTAGAGAGCCACTCAATAAGTTATTTGGTGTACTCTTCCACGCTGCTCAGGCATCTTGGAAGAGGTGGACGTTCCTAACGTTCTTCCCCGCTCCTACTAGACATCTGCGAAAAATATATATTTCGCTCCTCGGATTTCTCCACTATAAATACTGATTATGATTACACCACCACACGGGACCTGGGAAACCTACTCACACTGCTGGGTAGACAGAGGCAGGGGTGCGGGGGGGGAGGGGGGGCAGTGGATTTAAGAAACTTGCTCCGATGTTTCAACTGCCGCGTCAGGAGACCAAACCGGTGACCTCCACATTGCCGGCGCTGACCATCACGCCACGGCAGCATCCCGGTGAATGGGCATGAGGTTCTTGGATGCTACGACGAACCGAGACGAGTTCTCTAATTCAGTGCAAAGAGTTTGGCCTAGGGCTAGACTTCCTCGGGGTAGTCGAGGGACGTGGAGGCTAGCTGGGTGCTGGGAGGCGGTGAGTGAAGCGCTCACCCCTGGAACAGAAAGAGGTTCATGTAGTTGTATTTCTTGGTGAGGAAGTTGCCCAGGATGCGGGTGGGGTAGCCGCAGCGGATCTGGTAGGCGGACAGCCCGAAGTACACGCACTTCACAAAGTACCACAGCTGGGCCACTGTGTTCAGGTTGAACTTCCTGCATGCCAGACGCATACAAAACACACAAAGACAAAAGAAAAGATCCCCCCCCCCCCTTTAGCCGTATGGACCGTCGGGACACGCGCTCTTAGCCAGCACCTATTGTAGCCGGGTGCCAGTGGCGACGCTGCCCGTGGCAGCAGCAAGGGTTGGTGGATCACGCACAGATGTCGTGAAACTCCCCTTCTCGTCGAGGAGGAGCCGTACCATGGCTCGCCGCGAGAACGTGGTACGGCTAAAACGTGAACTCCACCGGTTCCGTCTGCATGGGATACAGTGTTGCCCACTCGCTTGGGTGCTCCGGTTGCCTCCCACGTGTGAACACCCATTATTTGACTGCAGAGTTTTTTTTTGGGGGGGGGGGGGGGTATTTGGCACCGGCGCACCGGCTGCCTGCGTTCCCGCTTGCCAATGGTTCCTCCTCGTGCCTCTGAGTCGCTCTCTCTCCGAGAGGGAGCGGATACTGTGCGGCACTCTTACAAGCTGAAATCACTGTTATTATTTTTGGATAAGACTGGCATGGTACGCGAGGGTGTGGTTGGGCCAACACCGCACTCTCCAACCTTTGTGTCCCCAGTGCTGATTATTTTTTTATATATTGCACCAGGTACTTGTTTTAAGACTGAGTTGATCTAGAGGAGGCAAAGGACCGGTTGCTGGATTTGTCACGCGGTGTGCTAACCACTATCTCACCACTCCACAAAACACACCCACACACCACACACCACACACACACCACACACATACCACACACACCACACACACACCACGCACACACCACACGCACACACCACAAACACACCACACACACAAATGTGCACGGATCTACAGACATGTATACACAGAAAAGACAACATTTATACATGTGCAGACATACACACACACGAATATATGAATGAGTGTGTAAAGTAATGCACGCTTCTTTACATGTGTAATGAGAGATCGCCATCTAATGGGCGGTAAGGGGTAACTGCACGGCCACCACCGGGTAGCGGGTATCCAATCACAAGCGGGGATATATCTGGGCCAAGGGTAATGGGCGGAGTCAAAGGGAAACGTGCGGGAACCATCGGGAAGTTTCCACGAGGGGGCGTGGCTAGAGGCGGAGCTTAGCTCCGCCGAGAGGAATATAAGCAGGAGCAGGGGAGGACTTGGGAGTCGGTGTATGAAGCCTCGAGTCCGGACCGCGTCACTGGAGAAGCCTCTCCACGTGGCGGAACCCCAGTGAGGCTCGCCTCTCCTTCCGGCACGCCGCCAGCCAGCGGCGGGATTGGGGAGCGAGAGAGAGGCGGACCACAACGGCGGAACAGAGAGAACGGCTCGTCCCCGGCCGTAGAAAGAAGGGAAACATACGGGGAGAGTGGGAGTGAGCTGTGCAAGAATTCTATCAATAAAAGACGCCAGTCAAGATCGTTCATGGAAGTATTAAACATGTGTAATGACTCCGGACTCGAGCCTTAGAGGTTTCTTTTATTGCACGTGTAGTGACATATAATGTGACTACTGTGTTGAGACAGTACGGGTACTGTGAGTTGTCACTGAGGTCGCGTCAGGCCGTGACACCCTGCGTGAACCCGATAGGGCACGTGACTGGACGAAGGGGGGCCAGGGGCCCCCAGGTGGGGGCTTGGTGGTCACGTGGTAAGGGACCCGGACCTTCCCGAAGGATCGGGAAGGGGGGCGCGGCCGAGGGCGGAGCCGGCCACGCCGCAGCAGTTACAAGCGGAGCGTGAAGAGAGAGCTGGGCTGTTCAACTCCGGGAATGAAGAAGACGCCATCAACGGTCCTCGAGTCTCCAATCTTCGTTCGTGACCAGGCAGCCTGTCAACCTGCCCTGGTCACGTTATATAGTATCTCTCCGAGTGTTAGTTAGAATAGGAACGGTGGTCACCACCTTATATATAGTGTTCAAGTTGTCTGTTACGTTGTTAATAAATAGTGTTGCCTCTAAGTTTAAGTGTGCGCCTCAATTGAACCCATTACACACGTAATGTAGTTTAGGACCACGTCGTCATGGGATAATGCCGACGTGGATATCGTATGACCGAGCAGACAGTGACGACGTGAAGATAGTGATGACGTGAAGATAGTGATGACGTGAAGATAGTGATGACGTGAAGATATTGACGATGTGAAGATAGTGACGATGGCCCGAGTCCCTCTTGACAGCCCTGAACATCCCTTCTTGCCCTGCTTTTATCCTCGTGGATTCTCTGGGCGAATTCCCCCCAGCTGTCTCTTTTGGACACTCTGGTGAATTTCCCCACCCAAGATCCTCCAGACTTGCTGGTGCCTAGTCTTCACATCCAGCCTCACTGACACCCTGTCTTCACATCGAGACTTGCTGACACAGTCTTTACACATGTGCTCGCAGATGCATGTCTGTCCATTTCTCCACTTAAAAACCCACAGATTTAACACACAGTTGTGTAACGTTTAAAGGTGTGCTCCAAGGGCGATTATGCAGGCCAAGGCATTCCAATTTCGATGGGCCCTGCACTCCAGAGTTGTACAAAAGTGAACAAGGCCCGGAGTTGGGCCTGTACTTGAGAATTGTTACGTAAGGATGTTACGTTGCCTAGAGAACCTGCACACGGAGTTAATATTCGAGCCAAGGGCAATTGCGTTCAAGGTTTTGAGTATTGTGGAGCGCTAATTTAAAGGCTGTTGTGCAATGTTTAAAGGTTGACAATTTTTGCGTCAGGTTAAGAGTTATCTTGTGAAAGAGGTTCAAAGTTGAGGGGTGCTGTTATGTAGAAATGTCACAGGTTGAAATAAAAACGAATGTAATCTCTTGCCAGGGGTGCACAAAGACAAAGATCCCCCGTGTTGCCTACACAGACTGTAGGGGCAAGTGCTGTGAGCGAGCACCTATTAAGGCCGACACGGCACATGGGGGGGGGGGGGGGGGGGGGGTTGCCAGCACCACGCCCGGCCGTCTACGCCTCCACAATGCTAATGTTTACACACCGCACCGGGTACCCATTTAAAGCTGAATCGACATAGGAGTGACCCAGAACCGGTCGTGATATTCGTCGCTGGCATTAGCCGTAAGCGTGGCTTGAACTCGGGCCGTAGGGTCCGAAGTGCAGTGCGCCAGCCGCTGCGCTACCCCACTCCCAGGGGTGCCACAGGCACAAGGCGCAGCACTCGCCCCACCTTCGTGATGAGCAACTGCCCTGACACAGAAACAACGTGCAGGAGGGTAACGGGTTCAGGAAACAGCTGCCGTGAGGAACAGCAACAAACTCAAAAAAGTTGGTCAACTGCACGTTGTGAACTATGAACTTGCCGATGAAGAGTTGCCGATGAAGAGTTGCTAATGAAGAGTTGCTAATGAAGAGTTGCTGATGAAGAGTTACTGAGGAAGAGTTGCTGATGAAGAGTTTCTGATTGAAGAGTTGCTGATGAAGAGTTGATGATGAAGAGTTGCTGATGAAGAGCTGTTGATGAAGAGTTGCTGATGAAGAGTTGCTGATGAAGAGTTGTTAATGAGGAGTTGTTGATGAAGAGTTGCTAATGAAGAGTTGATAATGAAGAGTTGCTAATGAAGAGTTGCTGATGATGCTCGGAGTCGTTGCGTCGCAATCATTTCAACGTTTGTCGATCCTAGTGTGGGGGTAGGGCTGGGGTAGGAGTGGACATTGTTAGGCATGAGGATCAGGCTCAAGGACGTGGGGGCTGTTGTCGATGAGTGAAAGGCATTCACACGAACTCCACACTGTCGTGGTCGCTGTGTATCACGAAAGCGTCCGTTGTGCAGCACGAGTCCTGGGGTTCCAGGAGTAGGGATGGACTCGGGATCAAAAGGCTTAAGGTCGCCACCCGTGTGCTGCTTTTGCCAGGATCTTCCGCGACGTGAGGACGGCAGTCCTGGTCATCCTCGAAGTCTTCCCAGGACATGAAGAGCCTCGGGTTGCGTAATAATCCACCGCTCAAGACAAGGCTTTTACGCCGCGTAGCTGTCCAGGCTTCCAGTATTCGGAGGCATTCCTCTTTTTTTGTTTCAACCTCAGGGGTAACGACCCCATTGAGGATCGAGGTTTTGGTTGTTGTGGTGGTGGGAGTGCCAACTTGGCACAGTAGGGGGCACAGGTGGTGCATCCGCCAGTCATCTCAGTCAGTCAACCCATGGCACCTTGGTCTGCCAGCGAGCCTTTCACACTTCACGTGGCATCAGCGTGCACCTGGCCTGGCACATGGCGGGTAATATTGGTGGTGGAGGTGGTGGAAGAAGTAGTTGTGGAGGAGGTGGTGGTGGAGGTGGTGGCGGAAGAGGTGGAGGTAATTGTGGTAGTGGTGTAGGTAGTGGTGGTAGTGGTGGAGGTAGCATGGTAGTGGTGGTAGTGGTGGAGGTAGTGGTGGAGTTAGTGGTGGTAGTGGTGGAGGAAGTGGTGGATGTAATGGTGGTGGTAATGGTGGAGGTAGTGGAGGCAGTGGTGGAGGTACTGGTGGAGGTAGTGGTGGAGGTAGTGGAGGTAGTGGTGGAGGTGGTGGAGGTAGTGATGGAGGTAGTGGTGGAGGTAGTGGTGGTCGTAGCGGTGGAGGTAGTGGTGGTAGTGGTGGAGGTAGTGGTGGTGGTCGTGGTAGTGGTGGAGGTAGTGTTGGAGGTAGCGGTAGAGATAGTGGTGGAGGTAGTGGTGGTGGTAGTAGTTCGGCAAAAACAACCCCCTACCTCCTCGTGGTGCCGGGCGGCAATGCTGTGGTGGGCAGTGCCGTGGGGGGAGGGCCAACTGAGTTTGTCTTTCCCCTCATGGCGTTTGTAGCCACCCCAGCGGCGAAATGGGGGCTCTGGACAGGTGCGAGGGGCTGGTAACCCCTCCACCTTCAATTAATTACCACAAAACCACGACGGAAAATTGTAATTAATAAGCTTATGCCAGAGGCACAACACGCCCATGGGCTGGACAACATGCTGTTCCAACATCGGCGCATCCACACAACATCATGGATGCATGCCGGGTCCAAGAAATAATATCTGCTGGACTACGTAGTGACGGAACAGCAGATGCGGGCCCATGTCCTTGACACCAGGACCTATCGTGGAGCTGATCTGCCCACTGACCATCGACTTGTCATCTGTAAGATGCGCCTGCATTTCTTCCACTCCGGTGGTGGATGTACACCCAGGACCCATTCAAACCCTTAGTGGCATGGTCTCAGCTAGCTGATGAATGTTGCAAGCGAAAATTTCATTATCGCTTGCGGCTGGAGTTGGCATCGTCCCCCACTCCTCTTGATGGCGAGGGGAAATGGGCGAGGTTTAGGACTGTGGTTCATGCAGCTGCAATGGCAGCTTTGGGTACACGGTCCAGACCTCCCCAGAGACCCTGGCTGACATAGGAAGTGTTCAAGCTGGCTGAGAAAAAGCGACAGGCCCACTCTCATCGGCTACAGCATCACACGTCAGAGAATGAGGAGGCTTACCGCAGCCTTCACTCGGAGGTTCGGACAGCCATGAGGTGCTGCAAGGATTGGTGGTGGTCGCGGGTTGCTGAGGAGATGGAGTCTGCCTCAATGGCCCGCAATCACAAATCGCTCTTTAATTCCATCAAAAAAGTAACCTGCAGCACCACACCTATTACCATCATTAGGGGAAAGGATGGTGATCCAATCTCCGACCCCCAGGAACAGGTTTGCAGATTTTCTGAGCATTTCTGTGAGGTCCTGGGGGAGGGGAAATCCCTCAGCCTGGAAAATATCGTGGCACAAACTGGGGATGACCCTGCTAGGCTGCAGTGCCTCATATTGGAAGAAGTCACCCCCTGTGAGTGGCTGGCTAAGGTGCCATCTGTTGAGGAAGTACTGAAGGCGATCCAGAGCCTGAGACTAGGAAAGGCACCGGGCAGAGATGATCTCCCAAGTGAAATGCTGAGAGAGGGTGGCGTTTGTGCACAGACTGCCCTACATGCCCACTGGACGGGTTCCACAGGATTGGAAGGATGCCCTGGTGGTCCCCCTCTTTAAGAAGGGGGACCGCACAGACTAACAACTACAGGGGCATCTCACTCCTCAGTGTGCCGGGAAAAGTCCTGGCAAGGAACATTCAACATCGCCTTGCTGGGCACGCTGATGAGAGGCTTGCGGAGCCCCAATGCGGTTTCAGGAAAGGGCGGTCCTGCACAGATGCCATATTTTCTGTCTGTCTGCTACAGCAGAGGTGGAGGGAATTCCAACAAGACCTACATCTCTGCTTTATTGACCCGGTCAAGGCCTATGATACCATCAGTAGGCCTGGGCTCTGTGATGTTCTTCGTGCTTTCGGAGTCCCTAACCCTCTGCTCACGATCATTAAGGACCTTCATGATGGTGAGCGGGCCCGGGTAAAACTACGTGGCCGGGAGTCGGAGCCACTCCATGGTCACCTTGGGGTGCGACAGGGATGCCCTCTGGCTCACACATTATTTAACATCTATTTTGACCACGTAGGTCGTGAAGCCTTCAATAGCTGTAGCAGAGGAATTTCCATCTGGTACAGATACAATGGGAGGCTGATCAATGCCCGGGTGCGGTCAAGGGATGGCTCCCTATTGCTCAACCATGTTATGTATGCCGATGATCTGGTAATTGCTGCTCACTTGGAGGAGTTGGAGGTGCTGCTGCTGAACCTGGAGCTTGCCACGAAGAGGTGGGGACTTACCATCAGCCCCACCAAAACTAAGCACCTGCCTGGGTATTTTGTACTATGGGACACTCCACCCCCACAATTCCCAACTGGTGATAGGGCAGTTGTGGAGAGAGTGGAGAGTTTCCCATACCTGGGCAGTGTGCTCATGACCGGCTCCGGTTTAACAGCAGAGGTCTCAATCCGAATCAGTCAAGCGGCATTATCTTTCATCGGTTGCGTAACGCTGTGTGGAAGCTACCTGGTCTGTCGCTCCGCACAAAGCTTCAGGTCTTCTCGGCCACAGTCATTTGTTCCCTTCTCTATGCTTGCGAAACGTGGATCCCCTAATGGAACATCTTCACCGCTTAGAAACATTTAGGCTGGCCTGCCTACAATCTTTTCTGGGTTTAACCAGGCTGGATTGTGTGAGGAGCCCACAAATCCTTAAAAGATCTGGACAAAGTCCCATCGGTGAGCTCCTCCGGCATGCAAGGCTGCACTGGCTGGGTCATGTAGCCCGCATGCCCAGCCACTGCATGCCTAAACAGCTTTTGTTCGGCCGGATCGAGGGGGCTAAACGGGCGCGGCACGGGCTAGAGAAAAGATGGAGTGACGTGGTACAGGAGGATGTGGAGCTGAGTGGACTTGCCTGTACCAGTGGTGTCAAGATCGGCCTCTGTGGAGGAGGCTCGTGAAGGACGCTACTGGGCAGTTGGAGGCAGTCGCCCTCCAACAACAACGGAGGGCGACGCTCACAACAACGAGCGGAGCACCGGGTGGCTAAAGCACAGCCAGTTGGCACAGTAGGGGGCACAGGTGGTGCATCGTCTCAGCCAGTCGACCTGTGGCACCTGGGTCTGCCCCGTGACCTCCTGCCAGCGGGCGTTCGACACTTCACGTGGCCTCAAGGTGCACATAGCCTGGCACAAGCGTCGTGGTGACGTCACCGCCACTTAGTGGCGAATGGCGGTTGCTTTTGGTAGTGGTAGTGGTGGTAGTAGCAGTGGAGGTAGCGGTGGTGGTGGTGGTAGTGGTGGTAGCGGTGGTGGTAGTGGTGGTAGCGGTGGTGGTCGTGGTGGGCGAGGCACTGGGAGCCGCCGCCGCTGCCGCACCTTTCGGTGACGCCGGGCAGGATGAAGAACATCCAGAAGTGGATGCCGAACACGAGCACGACCTGGAAGATGACCTTGCCGAGCACGGTCTTGCGCAGGTAGAGCGCACGGTCCACCACCATGGTGCTGAACTGAAGCAGCAGCATGACGAGGAAGGCCTGGGGCACCTGGTCCTCGGACAGCGAGGACGCGATGTCCGCAGCCGCCGAGTGTTTCTGGGGAGGAAGTCAGACCGGCGATACTCACTCGCCAATACCAACAACGACAGCCGCCATTCGCCGCTAAGTGGCGGCGATGTCACCACGGCGCCTGTGCCAGGCCAGGTGCACTTTGGGGCCACGTGAAAGTGTCGAAGGCTCGCTGACAGGAGGTCACGGGACAGGTGCCATGGGCTGACTGAGATTACTGGCAGTCGCACCAGCTGTGCCCCCTACTGTGCCAACTTGCTGCATTTTACTCGCCCGGCGCTCCGCTCATTGTTGTGAGCGTCGCTCCTCTGCCCTCTGTTTGTTGGAGGGCGACTGCCTCCAACTGCCCAGTAGCGTCCTTCACGAGCCTCCTCCACAGAGGTCGATCTTGACACCGCTGGTACCAGTCATCGGCAAGTCCACTCAGCTCCACGTCCTCCTGTACCACATCCCTCCATCTCTTCTCTAGCCCGTGCCACGCCCGTTTAGTCCCCTCTCTCCTGCCAAAGAGAAGCTGCTTGGGCATGCTTACAGGCATTCTACCCATTTACAGTTGTACCCCGATTTACATCTCCCCACGTCGTTTCACAAACACGTCGTCACTTTAGTATTAATACCACCGCGACCCAATTTGCTTCGCCTCAACCTCACACACCCACGTGGCTGACAGCGTCGTCCATCCTCTGTCGTTATCTGTCGCCTCTCAGCCTTTGCCTCCACCGACCCTGCACACCAACTACTGTTTGTCGTGCATCAACAAATGTATTGTAGAGTGCAATATAATATTTATATACAGTATCTTGGAGATTTTTTTTAAAGTGTACTCTATCTTATTGTACCCTGTATAATTTGTCTTAGGGTTTATTGCTGTACACTAGTGTTGCATTTTTAGTAATTTAATGTGACGTTGTGGGTACGTCTGGGATGAAGATGCACTCATTAACACAGTTCCATCGTTCCCTCCATTGCATTTGCTTCGCTCTCGTGGAAAATGTTTTTTGATTGACGTCGTTTCGATATTTGTCGCTGCACCTTCAAGGAACACATCCCCGGCCTAACCCGGGATTATTTCTGGACCTCTTGTAGTCCCACAATCCACAGAGAGCACACAAAGGTCTTTAGTTGGCTTACTCTGAGAGGACTGAGGGGTTTAGTGGCGGTGCAGGGGTTAGGGCACCGCGTGCTACAAACCATGGCAACCCGAGTTCGATTCCCGGCCACGGCTAACATCGGTGGTGAACAATATCTGATTCGATCTTGGGCACTTTCTTCAACAGCCCAGCGCTGACCAGTCAAACAACCCTCAGCCGTTAATTGACAAAGAGCTGTCCGTCATCATGAGCCGGGTTAGGGGTGGCGGACGCCTGCAGCCCAGCACGAGTGGAGGCGAGAGTTGGCGGATCGCCACAAATGTTGCGAAACTCCTTTCCTGGCCCGCCAGGAGACGGCGGTACAGCAGAACTGTGGCTCCCCACGTGGCCGCCCTTCCCTCCGATCTGTCGCTCCTCTCACCTCCGAGTCGCTCGCTCTACGAGAGCGACGAGCGAATACTGTGCGCTACGCCGGGTTATAAGTTGACGTTATTACTTTTGTTGCCACTATTCACGAGAGAGGGGTTTACGTTCACGGTTTAACACGAAGCCCCCACCCCCCCACAATGCGCCACGCTGATCCTGGTTCATCACGCGAACTCCGCGCCAGCGAGTGTCACGGTGCGCAGAGGAGTGGGATGCGGACCCCGAACGCCCAGTATCCGAAGACGATGATGATGAAGTCGACGACGTCGGCCATGAACATGAGGGCGTAGACGTCCGTCACGGGGCTGAAGTCCGGGTGGATGAGGTCGTAGAAGAACTGGCGGATGGGGCGGTACACCTGCAGCACTCTGGGTGCACCACGCACACACAGTGCAGCGGTGAGACGGGGGCGACTGTGCGGACGGTCACTCACGTCACTAACGTCACTCGTTCATGTCCCTCACTCACTCCCCTCGCTCACTCACTCACTTACTCACTCAATCGCTCACTCTCCCTCACTCACTCACTCTCTCGCTCACGTCACTCACATCACTCACTCACTCACGTCCCTCACTCACTCACTCTCACTCACGTCATTCACTCAGTCACTCCCGTCACTCACTCAGTCACTCACTCACTCACTCACGTCACTCACTCACTCACGTCACTCACTCCCGTCACTCACTCACTCATTCCTGTCACTCACTCCCGTCACTCACTCACGTCACTCACTCCCGTCACTCACTCCCGTCACTCACTCACTCACTCACTCACGTCACTCACTCACTCCCGTCACTCACTCACTCACTCCTGTCACTCACTCCCGTCACTCACTCACTCACTCCCGTCACTCACTCGCGTCACTCACGTCACTCACGTGAGTAAGTGACATGAGTGAGTGAATTCACGGACTCCGCAGTGGGCATCATGTTTTTTATGCAACTCTACGAAATGGGAAGTAATCGACGATCACGTGCACGATTCAACGTGGGTATCCTGAGCTGAGCAATGGGTTTCAATCGATGACTCGAAGACTCGCGGCATCCCTACCGAGAACGACAGCGTTCCCCTGTGCTGCACCAGACTCACGGCTCGTGGATCCAGCGTCAGAAGCCATACAACTCCACCCCAGGATTTGCATGCTCAGGTGAGTGTAGCCCTGAGATGGACTTACTCGTGCCACCGCTGGCAAAAGCGCCTCCACTCGATGGGGCTCAGAAGTGCCCGTCTACTCATGGAGGGTATTTGGCCTACTCTTCCATGCTGGACAAATGTCTTGGAAGAGGACAGTACCCACACTTTTTCCCACCAAACGTAGGCAGCCTACCGATTAACCGGAGTCGTCAGTGCGTGCCGGTGCTTTAGCCAAGTGGCCGAAACGCCACAGCAGTGGCTTCGCCGACTTTTATATTTGCACTTGTTAATGAATATTAAAAACCCAACAAAGTGTCCATGGAGGGCAGCAGGGCTGCTTCCCAGAGAGGGAGCTACGCTTGGGACGTTGGGAAGAGTCGTCAAAGGAAGCATAAGGCGGTGACACTGTGACGTTGTCGGTGATGCGATGATGAGGAGGAGGAGGTGGAGGAGGTGACGGCGCTGCAGACCGGGCAATGACGAAGTTGCGACACCGCATGGCCAGCTCCTGCGCCTTCATCATCAGCAGCTCCTTCCGGGTGCGCGGGGCCGGCGGGGTCGGCATTCTGCTGCCCTTCCGGCTGCTGCCCTTCCGGCTGCTCCCTGCGACCCGGCCGGCGGGGGAGGGGGGGGGGGGAGGGGGGGTGCGAGACGGGAAACGGGGGGCGCTCCGATTGCACGCCACTCGACTTGTTCGCGTTCTCACTGCGCAGCTGGGTGGACAATCACGAGGGGTAATGTCGGCATTTTATTTTTGCCTCGACGCGTGGCGCCCTTTCCTGGCACAAATCTGCCACCCAAAGAAGCCAACTCGCACATTGCCCCCAATTAGAGACCGGCTCTGGGAAATGACTTGACTGGGGAGCATCAGTTTTAGCCGGGGGTCACGTTCCTGGAAAAACACGACTTAAGCTGATTCGACGTTGTGTGATCAGCTATTTTCCATAAAAAACGAACTACAATACAGGAGATGCATTCCGGCACTCCAATACAATGTAAAGTCTTCATAAATCACAAATTATACGATTTTATGAGGAAGATTAATGCTAAATAGAGGAAAGTAAGTACAATTTATATTTACACACACATTTAAAAAACAATATTACAGAAATCAATAAAATAAATACTTAATAGGTACTTATAGTTCCATAGGTGGTGGAGAGGCAAGTGGTAGAGGCCTACATGGTAACATGGGCGAATAACAACAACAAACGACGCAGCATAGTACCACTACACCACTCAAAGTAGCCCGTCCGCCATGCAAGAGCAGCGCACAGCACGAAAACACGACTTAGTGAGCGGTCATCGAGCAACTCACCAGCGATAATAAACAAATTTGGCGACGGCGTAAAACCGATAATACTGCCCCCCTATTTGGCAACGACATGAAAGCGAGAAGACATAAACCCATCGTTGCCACCGAGCCACAGGATATGGCGGTGCATCGTCTCGCGAGCTCTGACAGGTGCCAGTCGCACGGCAACCAAACAGAACGCGTCCGAGCCACGCTAAGGGCCACCCACGTCACGGCAAAACTCTCCGCGCGGCCCTCGGGGGCCGGGCTGAGACGATCAGTTGTCAAAGAGGCGCGCCCGTGGTGGTCGGTCCGCGTCGGACGGCGAACGAGGCGACGCCGTCGGCCCGCGCCGGAGTCTCACCTGGCCGCGAGCTGTGGCCCGACAGCCGAGAGATCCCCGAACTCTTGCGCCGGTGGCCGCCCGGGTGGCGGCCGGCGCCGCCCGGCACCGGGCCGCTCGGCACGGCCAGCAGAGGGCCGGACGGAACGGCGGGTGGCCCCGAGACGGCCGGCGGGCCCGGAGAGGGCGGCCCCGCGACGGAGACGGAGGGGGCGGGCTCCGCGCTGGCCCCGCGGGGCCGCTCACCGAGCGGGCGAGCCGCCTCTTGGCACGACGGCTTGCGGCTGCCGGGCGCCGCCGGGGAGCCCTCCCCGCCGCCGACGCTCGCCTCGTCGCCCGGGGTTGCTCGCTCCTCCTCGGCGTCGTCCCAAAGGCCGTAGCACTGAGCGCCGTCATCGAGTAGCACGCGCGCGCACACGCACACACACACACACGCACACACACACACACACGCGCACGCACACGCACGTGCACGCACCGGCAAGCTCCGTTAGCGAGCACCGATTAAAGGACGGTGAGGCCAGCACCACGTCCGGCCGCCTACGTCTCACAAGTGCTGATGTTCACGCACCGTACCAGGTGCTCATTTAAGGCCGACTTGACCTAGGCGAGGCCCAGGACCAATTCAGATATTTCGTCACCGATGTTAACCGTGAGCGGGAATCGAACTCGGGACGCCGGGTTCGCGGTGCGGTGCGCTGGCCGCTCCAACGCAGCTCCCCGCAACGCGTGCAGTCACGTACGCACAGACGCGCGTGTGCACACACACGTACGTCTGTACGTACGTGCGTGTGCACACACACACGTACGTCTGTACGTACGTACGTGTGCACACACACACACGTACGCACCTTGAGGATGGAGCGGTGGAAAAAGAGCACGAGCAGCTGCACGAGGTCGTAGTAAACGTATCCCTCCTTCTTCTCCACGCCGATGATGGTCGCCGGGTCGAAGGGCTTGTCCAGGCTCAGGGCAAGCCTCACCATCGTGTTCCAGGGGAAGAAGCCGAATTGGAAGAAGTATTTGATGACCACCGTCACCTGTACACACGCGGACAGGGCCGGCCACCGCGTTCCCACACCGCACACAGCAGCGGGCGCGGGCGCCGTGGCGGTGAGATGTTATCTCCCTCGCCTGGTATGCAGGAAGTCATGGGTTCGATCCCGACTCTGATGCCTGTTGTATATTTGGCGGTCGTGTGGATATTTCTCTGGGTCTTCCGGTTTTCCCCTCTACATTTAGAATCAAAGTGCATTTAGATTATTTGGCTGCTCGTAAAAAATCCCACGTGTGATGAGCCACTTCGTTGAGCTATCATTTGTGGCCAGGTGGCTTCTGATAAAGAGCTAATAGCTCAGTTGGCCTTACCTGGTAAATAAAATTGTTTCGTTTATAGTTTAGTTTAGGAACAATGGCCTTGTTAGAAGAGTGCTGAGCCAGCTTGACCCAGGTTGCCTGGAGTCTAGGTTAGACTCCAGGCAGTCGGCTGACACTGAACCAGACTCTCACGGGTTGTGAAATCGCTTTGGTTCGTATTGTTTGTGCCGCGTCTTCCCGCACGCGGGCACGCACCTCGGTGTACACGATAGCCGTCATCCAGAAACGCTTGCTGGGCCGCGGCACAGACAGCATGGCCCACAGGAAGATGAGGATGGGCAGCACCAGGGTGATGCTGGAGGCCGAGATCATGTGGTTGAGGATGATGATGAAGTAGCACATCATCTCGGAGCGCGCCACCACGGTGTTGTAGAGCGCGAAGAAGAGCTTGAGCAGCCGCGTCTGCTCCGCGTAGAAGCGGTCCGAGTCGTCGAGGTCGTCGTCCTCAAAGAGCCTGTGCACGACGAGACACCGCACGTAGCACGCGGGAACGTCGTCACCCGCACGACGAGACACCGCACGTAGCACGCGGGAACGTCGTCGACGCAATCACCATCAAAACGTCACGGTATTCAAATTGTAAATGTTGTTGTGGGTTTACTCTCCAACACACCGGTGTGTGGAACTAGGAACGAATTGGTACGTTTTGTTTAACGTGACAAACCTTACCGATTGGCTGTCTGGTGGTGGTGTTGGGTTTAATGACACATTCATATTTACGCGACCTTATCCAAAAAAAAACCCCTTCATTATGGATTAGAGACAGCATCGACACGAGAGAGCATCGATCTATTAACATAAAAATCTAAAAATATTAACGAGAGACACCATTAACACCAGACACAGACAGTCTCCGAATTACGAAAGACCCAACTTACGAAAATCCAACATTACGGATAAGCTCCCATAAATCATGTAAAAAATAATTAAAAACTGTATGCGCAAATGTTTACATTAGTTATGTAACCGCAAATAGTGCAGCGTGGTGAGGTTGCGGAAGAATACCGCGGAGCGAGGCGTAAGGTGAATGGAATTTTTCGCAGCGTTACGTAATTATCTTTCCTCTTGTAGCATGACGTAATTGTTCATCTTCTTGGTTCTTTCGGTAAATTCACGTAGGAGGGAAATAATAAAATAATAAAAATAAAACATAATAAAATTCTTACGACGTGCCGGCCACAACACAGGCAGCCGTCCTCAGGTGAAGAAACAGAACTGTCGGAAAGACAGCGCTCCAATGAACACTGCTAAGCATTGAAGTAGCTGTGTTAATGTGAGAGATTAGCAGGATGTTAAAGTCAGAAATTAGCTTGTGTTGTGGCCGAAACGTCGTGAGAATTTTATTTTATTGTTTTATTTTTATTATTTTTATTATTTCCCTCCTACGTGGTGACTTAACCGAAAGAACCAAGAAGATGAATCCCTGCAGTCACGAAAGCTTTAAATCAAAACGAAATGTTATTGTTTATTTTATTTTCTTAGAACTATGTTTCTCTTGTATGCACTTAACACAATTACACTTCGATTGCTCATGGTCTCAGGCAACAGCAATCGGAGGAGTGCAGAGCGTATGTACAGCGATACGATACAGGTTAGCGATAGAGAACGGAAGACAGCGCAATACGGTACTGAGAGAAAACGAATGAGTGGTTGGGTAGGCGAGCCACAATTATTTCCGGCTATGGGATTTTATCGTTGATTTTGGGAGGAAATTGTAAAGTTTACGAAAATTCGGGTTACTGATCGTTCTCAGGAACCTAACCCTTCCGTAACCCGGGGACTGCCTGTACATCATCAGTGTGAGAAGCATCACCAACTCTAGAGATTGAATGAAACCGTAAACCACGCGGCATGCCACAAATCAAAGTACCCTGGGATCACGAAACTCGCGCTGCATTACCCAGTGGTGGAGACAGGGGGGTTGGGGCGAGGTGGGGAGAGGGGGGGGCAAGGGGGGGGTGGGGGCGAGGTGGGGGGCAAGGGGGGGCGAGGTGGGGGTTGGGGCGAGGTGGGGAGAGGGGGGGGGCAAGGGGCGGCGAGGTGGGGGGCACCTGTTGAGCAGCAGCTCGCTGGCCGTGTGCTGGTGGGACAGCGCCATGCCGGGCGCGTCCCCGCCCTGCACCGACGGCAGGCTCTTGGGGGGGTCGCCCAAATCCACTGCCGCCGCCTCCTTCGGCGCCGGCGATTTCCGCAGGACGACAACTCCGGCCTCCGGCAGCGAGTCCAGGCTGGCGGCCTTGCTGTAGGTGGGCGGCGCCTCATTGATGCCGCGTGGGAACTCGGCGGGGCTCTCGTCCTCCGCCTCGAACTCCACGTCGTCGCTCGTCGCCCCCTCGCCGGTCGCGCAGCCGAAGTCGGACGTCCCGGTCGCTCCCGCCGCCCCCCGACGACGGAGCCGCTCCCCCTCCTCCCCCTCCTCCTCCCCGTCGTCGTCCTCCCCATCGTCGTCGTCGTCTCCGTCGCGGCGGCGCCGGCGGTCCCGGCCGGGATGGCGCCGTCCCCGCGCGCCGCCGCGCGCCGCCGCCGCCTCCTCCTCGTCGGACGCCTCCTCGATGGTGTCAGCGGTTCCCTGGCGCGACGCCAGCGTCGTCACCTGCGTGGCCTCGCTGCACGCGTGGCACACGGGAAGCGCGGCCCGCGTGAGGCACGGCACGCTGCCGGGGCCCCGGCGGCGCCGTCGGGGTGCCCATCCGAGCGGCGGCGTTGCCATCCTGGCGCCGGGCCTCCTCGTCTGGTCGTCTTCGGACGGTTTTCTGCATTTGTTTGGTATTGCTTTAATGCCTCGTTGCATTTCATTCGAAACGTTCAAAGGGGACCCCTCCTTAGTGGGCAGCTGTCCCTGCGTTTAGATTATTTGACTGCTATAAATGTCCACATGATGATAAGCAACTTTGCTGAGATGTAATTTGTGGCCAGGTCACTTCTGAAAAAGTGGGCCTTACTTGGTAAGATAAAAATAGTTTCGTGTAATTTGTATTTTAAGTGATTTATTACCTTTCCTATACTTTGCACTCCTATCGTGCTTTTGTACTGTTTGTTGTTGTAACGTTCTTACCCGCCCCTACTGGACATCTGTGAAAAAGAGCTTTATAGCTCATCGGATTCATCCTCCAATTTCAATAAATATTCTGATTCTGATTCAGCACGAGCCTGCATGTGGGTATTGATCATCCAGCAGGGTACAATGATTTATATGTGGGATCCCAATTGAGTATTTGCCACTATAGCTTAACTGCAAGTGGAAACTAAACAACAACAAAACACAATTCGTAAACAATAACTGCAAGGCAATCTATGAACGGAACTCGCTATAATAGTTGCAACTGTGCATTCATGAGAGACGAACAGGCATTTCAAAACGGCCATGGGTGAAAGCGGAAAAGACACGACAGAAAATAATAATATTTGATCAAATCAGCTGAAGACGAAGGGAAGGGCAAGTGAAGGTTTACGAAGGCACAGCAGCAGATGGGGTCAGGACATTTGACGCAGCAGCTGCGAGACAGGGAGCACGACACCGCAGGGAAGGCTAGGAGCTCTGGCAGGCAAGCAGGCAGGACGTCGGGATGGGCGAGCGTAAAAATAAAAGTAAACGTTCGCGTGCTTCCGGGGTGCTCAGGAGGTGTCTTCGGAGCAGGCGGGGAGACAGGAGACGGAGCGGCCGGGGACGAGGCTGCGAGGTGCGTGACAGGAGCCAACGCTGAAGCTGCCCGTGGGAGCTGGCACGTGGCTGGTGCAAGGTGCTTGGACGCGACAAAGAGGCGGTGTTAATTTTCTCTGACTTTTTTTTAGCATTTTTGTAATTTGGTCATTTTGTGTCAATGTTGTCCCACTCCCAGCCCCGGCCGCAGCCTGGCAACAAAGCGCATCCGGCGAGTTTCCGTCGTCACGCTCCTCCTACGAAGCTCCACGACGACACCACAGGCTTTCGTTGCTCTTGGTGCTTAGCGTAAAGACTTTCGCGAAATCACAAATGCCCCAGCGAATTTCAATTTACTGGGCACCAAAGAACACAGCCCTATCGGTTGCAAGCGGAGACCATTAACACCGGTGCCAGGTGGCGTCGCCACGGGGTAGAGAGGAAGTGGGGGGGGGAGGTTGAGGGGGCTCCTCCGTGGGCATCGCCGGGCGGCCGGGCACCACCACCTCTGCATCTGGCTGGAGCTGTCGAGTGAGGACGACTGCGAGTCGTCCACGTGGATGGAGCGGCGTAGGCGCGGGCGAAACCGCTCGCCCGGCGTGCCCGGCGTGCCTGGCGTGCCCGGCGTGCCCGGCGTGCCCGGCGTGCCCGGCGTGCCCGGCGTGATCGGCGTGATCGGCGTGGCCGGCGTGGCCGGCGTGGCCGGCGCGGTCGCGACGGTGGCGGCGGTGCCAGGAGCCGTGTCCTCTCCGGCCGAGTCGAGCGTGTTCTGCTGCGACCACAGCGTCGTGGCCTCCGTCACGCAGCTTCCGCGCAGGAGAGAGGGGGGCGGCCGCGGCAGGTGGGGGTGGGGGGGTCATCGAGAGGTCACCCGAAGTCAGTGAAAGGGTCGATTTAGCTGGTGAAGGGCCTGTGCAGCTCAGCTCACGGCCAAATGGCATTTGAAGCCACGGCCACGTGACTTTCGATTAACGCAGGGAAGCCTCAGTAGCGAGTCTCAAGGCTGTAGGGGGCGATGCTGCTGCTGCTGCGTGATCACAATTGAGTGATTTGCAGGTACATTTTGAGCATCGGGATGTTTTGCCGTATACCAGTGACATTGTGTTTGTTTGCTTTTAGCTCTGGGAGGAAAACCAGAGCACCCAGAGGAAACCCATGCAGAACAGGGAAGAAAATATTCACTCCACACAGAAAGGCACCCGGGTTGGGAGGTGAACCCAGGCACGTCTTGCTGCGAGTCACGAGCGTGACCAGCGCCGTGGTGCTCTGGCGATGTCCTGGGACCGAGGAATGACGACAGTGACGTCAACGGAGCGCTCGCGTGGCGTCTCTCGCTCGAGCTCAGCATGACCCCACCTGGCCAGGGTCCTCTGTAGGCAACGGGACATTGGCAGCAGAGGCAGCGTTCCTCGTGCCTGCCCGCTCACATGAGCGCCCGTCATCCACGGATCCCTGTAGCCTGCATCGTCCTGCCTGTCTCTTCCCTCGATCTGCTTAACACGTCCCTTCCCTTCGACCCCCTCACACTCCGAGTGACGTTGCGTCTCGTCTCTCTCCGTGTGTGTTCGCCCATGCCCGATAACTGCTCGTTGCCCACGCGTGCTCGCGATGAAATCATTTACAGAAAGAAAAAAAAAAGGATTTAAAAAAAGAGGACAATGATGGAAAGGAGCGAAGAACGATAACGGTCACACCGCACAGCTCTCTGGCGTGTTTTGGGCAGAGCGAAACGTCGGACATCGTGCCGAACAACACGCGGCAACAAACCCAACAACACCCCGGAGAGCCGTGGAGCAGCAGCACCATGACCGAGAAGACCCACGCAGCGGTGTGACTCGTAAACGACTTGGAAAGCCGCCACGAAGATGCTACGGACGCCGACAGACAGAGAGAGAGAGGGAGGAGGACACGGCCAGGGTCCGGACACCCTGGGCCGCCAAGTTGACTGTGGGCACCTGCAGGGGCTGCTGTCCGACATGAGCACCGAGTCCTGGCTGGAGGCGGCTCCACGGAGCCGCGTGGGCCTGGCTGCCCTCTCGCGGGCCTGGCTCCCCTCGCCCCGACGAGGCCCTCGCCCCGAGCTTGGGCCGCTCTCGTCCACCGACGCCTCGTCCTCCGAGCGGTTCATCTTGGTGTGGTAGTAGCTCATGATGCTCTCCTTGGAGGGAACGTTCCCCTGCGCACACCGGGCACGCGCGTTACGTATGTAAGCGTGTGCTGAACTTCCTTCGCACCGTACGTAGCCGACCGTGCTAAATGGCACGCGCACGTACAAGTGGCTAACAGCATTCGCCAATCATAACCCCTCATGCGTCAAGTCGGTCTGAATAGGTGCTTGCGAACAGCATTCGGCCCGACAGCCTAAAAGGATGAACGGGTGATGTGTTTGTCGGGAGGTTGGTGAAGCTATGTGGGGGAGGTATGTGGGGGGGTAGCGGTGGTGTAGCGGTCAGCGCACTGCGCTATGAACCTAGCGACCCGGGGTTCGATTCCCGCTCACCAGCGACGTGTGTAAACATCGCCACTCGCGAGACAAAGGCATGGTGGCTGGCCACCCGCCCCCTCGGCTTTCATAGGTGCTCACAGACAGCACTTGTCCCAACAGTGAGTTCAGGCTATACGCCTTTTTGGAAGGTATGTAGATACATGTATAGACAAGAGAGAGTTAAGTTCACGCGGATCTGTCAGGGTGCTTAATTCCACGTGCGACACACCACATCCAGTATACTTCTCCGTGTGGCTGAGTCATGTACCTCCTCCAGTCTTTATTTTATTGAATACAGAGCTGCTATGCAGAGGCTCGAAGGCCCAACACGTTAAAAGGGCAGCAACAAACAGCACGACCGCAGTTGTCACAGGTAAGAGTGCAACACGTTTCTTGAGCAAGGTGACTATGAAGCACTGTGGGGAAAAGAATCGTGGAGCAGTGCGAGGGAGAAACAGAAAGGGAAGCGTTGTGACCTGCGGCGTGGTGAACAGACGCGGCGTGGTGAATGGACGTGGCGTGGTGGCCGGACGTGGCGTGGTGAATGGACGTGGCGTGGTGGCCGGACGTGGCGTGGTGAATGGACGTGGCGTGGTGGCCGGACGTGGCGTGGTGAATGGACGTGGCGTGGTGGCCGGACGCGGCGTGGTGAACGGACACGGTGTGGTGAACGGACACGGTGTGGTGAACGGACACGGTGTGGTGAATGGACACGGTGTGGTGAACGGACACGGTGTGGTGAACGGACACGGTGTGGTGAATGGACACGGTGTGGTGAACGGACGCGGTGTGGTGAACGGACACGGTGTGGTGAACGGACACGGTGTGGTGAACGGACGCGGTGTGGTGAACGGACACGGCGTGGTGAACGGAGACGGCGTTGTGACCTGCGGCGTAGTGAACGGACGCGGCGTGGTGGCGGTGACTTTGAGTGCTCGCCGCTCGGGTACCTTCTTGACCTCGCGCGACAGCATGCAGCGCTCGATGCGCAGCACGGTGGAGATGTTGGCGTACTCGCGCGACACCGCGTTAAGCCACTCGACGAAGGAGTCGAGGAAGGCGAGGGACAGCACGTAGGTGAACTTGACGATGTAGAGCGCCCGCCGCACCACGCTGTCTACGGTCACCCGCGGCAACACGACCTCGCCGCGTCACAACGGTGCGACCCCAGTCGCGCACATACACGCCACACACACGCATACATACACGCCACACACATGCCATACATACACGCCACACACACGCATACACACACGCCACACACACGCATACATACACGCCACACACACGCATACACACACGCCACACACACGCATACACACACGCCACACACACGCATACACACACGCCACACACACGCATACATACACGCCACACACATACACGTCACACACACGCATACATACATGCCACACACATACATGCCACACACACATAGATGCCACATACATATGCCACACACACACATACTTGTCACACACATATGCCACACATACACGCCACACACACGCATAAAGACATGCCGCACACATACATGCCACACACACTTAGATGCCACACACACATACATGCATGTGTAGTGTAGTTCTCCTTGACGCCGATGAGTATTACGAAACCAGATGGAGACCAGATCTTTACTCCGGGCTGCTTGCCGTTTATTCACTTGTGCTCTCTCTTCACTCTCCCTCCACTCCACACTTCCACCCGTGGTGGGTGCACGCTACACCCCATCCCTTCACCCCTTCCTCAACTACCGTGTCAGGGCTACCCCTCGGTCTCCCCTCTCGTCTTCTCCAGGCGGGAGGTCAACCCACACCGCCTGAGAGCGAGGTCCGACCTCATCAGCCCGTAGCCCCCCCTTTTCTCTCTCTCTCTCTCTGCCCGGGACGTCTTCCTTCCTCTCTCCCCCTCTCTCTCCAGAGGCCCCCCCTCTAGATCCCCCCTGCCCGGGGCCCCTCCCTTTCGCCAGCTCCCCCCTTGGCGGACGTCTAACGCCCCCTCTCCCATCATGCCTCGACCTTCCGCGACTCCTCCCTTGGCCTGCACCTCTTCACGCGCTCGCCCCTCGTTGGGGACTCGTGGAATTCACATGGTACACACACACACACTTACATGCCAAACACATACATGCCACATACATACCACAAACACATGCATACATGCCACACACAGGCAAAACATACATACCACACATACATGCCACACAGTCATGCCACACACATACATGCCACACTCACACATACATGCCACAAACAAACATACATACATGGCACACACACACACATATATACAGGCCACACACATGCATGCATACATGCCACATACACACGTATATGCCACACACACGCACACATACATGTCACACACACGCCACACATACATGCCACACACACATACATGCAAGGGCTACACACACGATACGTTGATATCCATGAGTTGGGATCCCCTCTGACTACTCATTGGTTTTGTCGGTAAAGTCACATATGTAGAAATACAATAAAATTATATTAAAACAAAAAAACAATCACGACGTTTCGATCACAACGCAAGCGATCTTCATCAGGTGTCAAGAGCAAATCACGGAGGTAAATACAACAAAAAAATGAGAGACGAGAATTCAACAAACCTGAAAAAACATTATGTGAAGCACATCCAGTCAGGCCAACAACAAAGTTAGACACTTCCTGGCGGACCACGAATTTCAGAAGAGTGTTAAATTTCGTGTTCAACCTTTGGATTGCACATACCAGCAAGATAGAATGAAAAATACGAGGTACACGGTCAGTAGAAATACATATACAAGTCCACCAAGAGGTAAGGAGGGAGGAAAGACGGACAGGGAGGCAGAGAGAGAGGTGGGGGGGCGGAGGGATGAACAGAAGCTTAAATAGGAAATACGGTTGGAGGGGGGTAGGGGCCAGAGCGAGAGCGGCAGCTCAAACACGCACATCTTACACATACAAAACGGCAGCTCAAAAAATTACCACCTCTTGTAAATACAAAACGGCAGCTCAAAAAAAATTCTCGTCTCTCATCTTTTTGTTGTATTTACCTCTGTGATTTGTTCTTGACACCTGATGAAGATCGCTTGCGTTGTGATCAAAACATCGTGATTGTTTTTCGTTTTAATATAATTTATTGTATTTCTACATACGTGACTTTACCGAAAAAAAAACAATGAGTAATTTTATGCAGTCACGAAAGCTTAATACTTTATTATCACACTTCTACGGGGAAGTTACCGTTGTAATTATGTGTAAGATGTACCCTTTTTTGAGCTGCCGTTTTGTATTTACAAGAGGTGGTAATTTTTTGAGCTGCCGTTTTGTATTTACAAGAGGTGGTCCTTTTTTGAGCTCACGTTTTGTACGTGTAAGATGTGTGTTTGAGCTGCCGCTCTCGCTCTGGCCCCTCCCCCCCTCCAACCGTATTTCCTATTTAAGCTTCTGTTCATCCCCCCCCCCTCTCTATCTGCCTCCCTGTCCGTCTTTCCTCCCTCCTTACCTCTTGGTGGACTTGTATATGTATTTCTACTGACCGTGTACCTCGTATTTTTCATTCTATCTATGCTGGTATGTGCAATCCAAAGGTTGAACACGAAATTTAACACTCTTCTGAAATTCCTGGTCCGCCAGGAAGTGTCTAACTGTGTTGTTGGCCTGACTGGATGTGCTTCACATGTTTTTTCAGGTTTGTTGAATTCTCGTCTCTCATCTTTTTGTTGTATTTACCGCCGTGATTTGTTCTTGACACCTGACGAAGATCGCTTGCGTTGTGATCGAAACGTCGTGATTGTTTTTTGTTTTAATATAATTTTATTGTATTTCTACATACGTGACTTTACCGAAAAAAACAATGAGTAATTTTATGCAGTCACGAAAGCTTTAATACTTTATTATCCCCTCTGACTGTGCAATAAGTGCCGGATCCCCTCTCACCCGGGCCCTCCTCCTCCTCCCCCTGGGTCTCGTCAGCAGGTGATGTTCCATCGTCCTCTTCGGGGATGTCCACCCTCACGTCGGTTGCTCCTTAACACATCATGCACCGCGTGCCAACTGTTAAACCATCGCAACGCCATCGCACAAAGACCCCCCGCATAGCCTTTAACAGACTGTTGGGGCAAGTGCTGTTAGCGAGCACCCGCGAAGGCCGGAACGATACACGAGGGGGTGGGTGGCCAGCACTGCGCCCGACCGCCTTTGTCTCCCTCGTGATGATGTTTACACACCGCACCAGGTACTCATTTGAGGCTGAGTCGACCTAGGGGAGGCCCAGGACCGGTTCAGATAATCCTCACCGGTGTTGGCCGTGAATCGAACTTGGTTCGCTGGGATCGTAGCGCAGCGTAGTGCTAACCGCTACACTACCACTCCCCACTCACACACACACAGCCCACAAATTGCATAAAACTAACACAGCACCATCACAACACCATCAACACACTGCAACGGAATGTCCCACCACACCATCACACACTTAACATCACAGCATCACCACATCTCCACAGTTGCTGAAAATGCCGCAGATACTGAAGGTAGTTCAGGTGGGGAATGTAGTGGAGCTACTGCAGATTATGGAGATAGTAGAGCTCGTGTCGGTGAATAAGATAGTGAAGATATTGGAGATGGTGAAGGTGGAGGAGATGGTGGAGGTGGTGATAGTGAAGGTGGAAATGATGAAGATGGTGTAGGTGGTGAAGATGGAGATGGTGAAGATGGAGATGGTGAAGGTGGAGATGGTGAAGGTGGAGATGGTGAAGGTGGAGATGGTGAAAGTGGAGATGATGAAGGTGGTGATAGTGAAGGTGGTGATGGTGTAGATGGTGTAGGTGGAGATGGTGAAGTTGGATATGGTGTAGCTGGTGAAGGTGGAGATGGTGAAGGTGGTGAAGGTGGTGATGGTGAAGGTGGAGATGGTGAAGGTGGAGATGGTGAAGGTGGTGATGGTGTAGGTGGAGATGGTGAAGGTGGTGATGGTGTAGGTTGAGATGGTGTAGGTGGTGATAGTGAAGGTGGTGATGATGTAGATGGTGTAGGTGGAGATTAAGTTGGAGATGGTGTAGCTGGTGAAGGTGGTGAAGGTGGTGATGGTGAAGGTGGAGATGGTGTAGGTGGAGATGGTGTAGGTGGAGATGGTGAAGTTGGAGATGGTGTAGCTGGTGAAGGTGGAGATGGTGAAGGTGGTGAAGGTGGTGATGGTGAAGGTGGAGATGGTGAAGGTGGTGAAGGTGGAGATGGTGATGGTGGTGATGGTGTAGGTGGAGATGGTGGTGAAGGTGGAGATGGTGATGGTGTAGGTGGAGATGGTGTAGGTGGAGATGGTGTAGGTGGAGATGGTGAAGTTGGAGATGGTGTAGCTGGTGAAGGTGGAGATGGTGAAGGTGGTGAAGGTGGTGATGGTGAAGGTGGAGAATGGTGTAGGTGGAGATGGTAAAGGTGGAGATGGTGAAGGTGGAGATGGTGAAGGTGGTGATGGTGTAGGTGGAGATGGTGAAGATGGTGATGGTGAAGTTGGAGATGGTGTAGCTGGTGAAGGTGGAAATGGTGAAGGTGGTGAAGGTGGTGATGGTGAAGGTGGAGATGGTGAAGGTGGTGAAGGTGGAGATGGTGATGGTGTAGGTGGAGATGGTGTAGGTGGAGATGGTGTAGGTGGAGATGGTGAAGTTGGAGATGGTGTAGCTGGTGAAGGTGGAGATGGTGAAGGTGGTGATGGTGAAGGTGGAGATGGTGAAGGTGGTGAAGGTGGAGATGGTGATGGTGTAGGTGGAGATGGTGTAGGTGGAGATGGTGAAGTTGGAGATGGTGTAGCTGGTGAAGGTGGAGATGGTGAAGGTGGTGAAGGTGGTGATGGTGAAGGTGGTGATGGTGAAGGTGGAGAATGGTGTAGGTGGAGATGGTGAAGGTGGAGATGGTGAAAGTGGTGATGGTGTAGGTGGAGATGGTGAAGTTGGAGATGGTGTAGCTGGTGAAGGTGGAGATGGTGAAGGTAGTGATGGTGAAGGTGGAGATGGTGAAGGTGGTGATGGTGAAGGTGGAGAATGGTGTAGGTGGAGATGGTGTAGGTGGAGATGGTAAAGGTGGAGATGGTGAAGGTGGAGATGGTGAAGGTGGTGATGGTGTAGGTGGAGATGGTGTAGGTGGAGATGGTGAAGGTGGTGATGGTGTAGGTGGAGATGGTGTAGGTGGAGATGGCGAAGGTGGATATGGTGAAGGTGGAGATGGTGAAGGTGGAGATGGTGAAGGTGGAGATGGTGAAGGTGGATATGGTGAAGGTGGAGATGGTGAAGGTGTTGAAGGTGACGATGGTGAAGGTGAAGATTGTGTAGGTGGAGATGGTGAAGGTGTTGATGGTGAAGGTGGAGATGGTGAAGGTGATGGTGTAGGTGGAGATGGTGTAGGTGGAGATGGTGTAGGTGGAGATGGTAAAGGTGGAGATGGTGAAGGTGGAGATGGTGAAGGTGGTGATGGTGTAGGTGGAGATGGTGAAGTTGGAGATGGTGTAGCTGGTGAAGGTGGAGATGGTGAAGGTAGTGATGGTGAAGGTGGAGATGGTGAAGGTGGTGATGGTGAAGGTGGAGAATGGTGTAGGTGGAGACGGTGAAGGTGGAGATGGTGAAGGTGATGGTGTAGGTGGAGATGGTGTAGGTGGAGATGGTGTAGGTGGAGATGGTGAAGTTGGAGATGGTGTAGCTGGTGAAGGTGGAGATGGTGAAGGTGGTGAAGGTGGTGATGGTGAAGGTGGAGATGGTGAAGGTGGTGAAGGTGGAGATGGTGATGGTGTAGGTGGAGATGGTGTAGGTGGAGATGGTGTAGGTGGAGATGGTGAAGTTGGAGATGGTGTAGCTGGTGAAGGTGGAGATGGTGAAGGTGGTGATGGTGAAGGTGGAGAATGGTGTAGGTGGAGATGGTGAAGGTGGAGATGGTGAAGGTGGTGATGGTGTAGGTGGAGATGGTGAAGTTGGAGATGGTGTAGCCGGTGAAGGTGGAGATGGTGAAGGTAGTGATGGTGAAGGTGGAGATGGTGAAGGTGGTGATGGTGAAGGTGGGGAATGGTGTAGGTGGAGATGGTGAAGGTGGAGATGGTGAAGGTGGAGATGGTGAAGGTGATGGTGTAGGTGTCGATGGTGTAGGTGGAGATGGTGTAGGTGGAGATGGTAAAGGTGGAGATGGTGAAGGTGGAGATGGTGAAGGTGGTGATGGTGTAGGTGGAGATGGTGTAGGTGGAGATGGTGAAGGTGGTGATGGTGTAGGTGGAGATGGTGTAGGTGGAGATGGCGAAGGTGGATATGGTGAAGGTGGAGATGGTGAAGGTGGAGATGGTGAAGGTGGAGATGGTGTAGGTGGAGATGGTGAAGGTGGATATGGTGAAGGTGGAGATGGTGAAGGTGTTGAAGGTGACGATGGTGAAGATGGTGTAGGTGGAGATGGTGAAGGTGTTGAAGGTGACGATGGTGTAGGTGGAGATGGTGAAGGTGGATATGGTGAAGGTGGAGATGGTGAAGGTGGAGATGGTGAAGGTGGAGATGGTGTAGGTGGAGATGGTGAAGGTGTATATGGTGAAGGTGGTGGAGATGGTGAAGGTGGAGATGGTGAAGATGGTGTAGGTGGAGATGGTGAAGGTGTTGAAGGTGACGATGGTGTAGGTGACGATGGTGTAGTTGGAGGTGGTGAAGGTGTTGAAGGTGACGATGGTGTAGGTGGAGGTGGTGAAGGTGTTGAAGGTGACGATGGTGTAGGTGGTGAAGGTTGAGGTGCTGGAGCTTCACCGTCACGTGGCTTGCTGCGCTGCTTGTCTCTCTGCCTGTCTCTCTGCCTGTCTCTCTGCTCGCGATGGATCTGCTTCTTCTCGCGCTGCCGCTCCTTGAGTGCCGAGCGCGAGTCCGTAACCCACGCGTGGTAAGCAAACTGAGACGGAGGACGCACGCACACACAAGCACGCACGAGAACGCGCACACACGCACACACGCGTAGAAGAACGTGCATATGCGTACGCACGGGCAGACGCGCACGTGCGTATACACGGACGCGCGTGAACGCGAGCCCTCACAGACCACGGACACGCGGACACGTGCGCGCGCACACACACAACGCACGTGGACGTACACTGAGGCGGGGATGGAGATGGCGTTGCAGTAGGTCACTGGCAGTCAATTAACTAAATATGCTGCCGCATTAGAACGCAGAGAATTGAATGTGTGAGAATTTTAATTGAGATCAACAACAATAATAATATAATTAAAAGGTGGAAATGATATGTAACTTTAATAATTAATATTGTTCATTTTAATAATAAAACATAATAATCATCATCATTCATAATAAAGGTTTTTGGGTTAGATCGTGTTATTTATAAATGTGTCGCAACCCTCCCCACTCGACACCGCCAATCAGTAAAAAATGTGTCACGTTGACAAAAGACAAATAGTTCACTACTTTAGCCCACCAGTGTGTTGAAGAGTGAATCTACAACATTAATTTTTTTAATACAACGTTTTGCTGGTAATTACATCCAGCATCATCGGGCAAATCGCAAATCGTCCGATGATGTTGGATGTAATTACCAGCGAAACGTCATACTTAAAAATTGTAAATGTTGTGGATTCACTCAACACACCGATGGGCTAAAGTAGTGAACTATTTGTCTTTTGTCAACGTGACATATTTTTTGCTGATTAGCCGTGTCGGGTGGTGGAGGGTTGCGACACATTTATAAATAACGCGATCTAACACAAAAACTTTTATCATGAATAATATTGGTCGCGAAAGCCTCCTACTACATGTTAAACATAATAATAATCAATTAGATCAATCTTATTGGCACATACTCATTCCAAACGAATCTCTAAGTCCTGAAATAACGACCACGGGTGGATTTGTTTTCGTCGAAGTTTAATGACAACTCCCCCTTTGTCACCGCCACAACGATCCCCCACAACCTCAGGTGAGGCAAAACTCAAACAAGAATCCCTCCACACAGCATGGTACGATGTCGGACATGGCCCTGGAAGATGACGACTCGGAACTTCTTCCATAGCCACTTCAAGAGGCAATGTCTACCAGCCCGACACCGGATGGTGATCCTTCAAGCTCCGTGGGGAATGATCAGTTTAACATGCGGTAAGGAGGCTTCCACGACCAACAGGGTTTTTTTAGTTGCGTTAGATCGCGTAAATAATATGATAAATATTGCTATCTACGCGAGCTAAGCCTAGTATGAATGACGATCATCAGCGCCGGGCCCCACACTCTGACAAATGAGAAGCCAAACGCACCACGGTGGGTGTCGAGACCGCACGGCGAGCAAAGGACAATAAATGCGATGCCTCAAAACAGTGGGGGGGGGGGGGGCATGGAAAACGTTTACCGCCATATTCAAACGTTGTCGTTTAAAAAAAAAAGACACGTGCAGTCATTGTAAATAATAATAAAAATTATTAATGTTCTGAGGGTGTTATGGAAATTCTCATTTACATTCGTCTGGGGGAAAAGTTAAATTCGGTTGGGAATTTTCCTCAGATTTTGGATTTGGGTTGAGATATCGGCACACTTTATAGCCGAGTGTTGTCTATAGCCTGAAAACTATTAAGGGCGGTTTATAACTTTAAATTATTATATTATTAAATAGTGTTCCAGGATCAAACACTTTCACTTTATAGCCAACACCATACTTTGGTGACAATGTAACCCTTTCGTGCTGGACTCGGCTGAAACTCAAGCTTTATCAGGTGGCAAAACCTCGGGCTTTTAACAAATAGGACGACCCATGAATATTAATATTATTGGAGCCTCATTTAAACCTATAACTACTTTTATTTTACCAGGTAAGGCCCACTGAGCTATATAGTTATTTTCAGAAGCGACCTGGCCACAAATAATAGCTTAACGAAGTACCTTATCACGTGGAAATTCATAGCAGCCAAATACTCTAAACGCATGTTTCTAAATGTGTAGGGAAAAAGCGGAGGACCAGGAGAAATATCCACGTGACCACGGGGAGAGAGACATGCAAACTCCAAATATACAGCAAGCGTGAGGGTCAGGACCGAACCCACGACCTCCTGTATACCAGGCGAGGTAGTCAACTTCTCACCACCGCGGTGCCCAAACCTGGCTGATCAATGTTGAGCCGAGGCCCTCATCAGTGTCGGCTCAACTCTCTGACAACGGCTTTAGCCCCCCTGAGGCGCCCAGGCCACCGCACACGTGGCGCCTTGCGGCGTCGCGGTGGTCTCAAGTGTCCCCATTATTTTGAGGCGTCGCAACCGTTCGCGTTGCAGCACAGACGCCTGCCAATGTCACCCACACAGCGGCGCCACAGGGATTCCCCGGGCTTGGACCAGTGACCCCCCCCATTTCCCCCATCCACTTCGGAACTTTCCTTCAAGATGCCTGACGGGAGTTGGAACGTGTTGCCCGTTTGCACAGAAAAGGAGCGGGATTTTGAGATAAAAGGGGCATCTTTCAGATGCTGTTCACATCTCTGGAGTCGGAAGAAGTGGATGGTGATGTTTGTTTCTGGGTTCCCTGTGGCTCCACTGAAACCGGGTGCGTTGGCTCGGAGTGTTACACACACGCTTCATCTCCATGAGCCGCATGGCAAGTTCCAACAGATTGTCCTTCCCTGCCTACTCAGGCATAGCAACTGCGTCCTGATGGGAAATGTTTTCAATGAACAGTTATTCAATTTTGGCCCCCAACTGTTCAATCGTCAAGTTAGCCAGGGAGCTGATATATCGTGAAAAGCACTGAAACATCGCCACAATGGCACAATTTTGGTGGACAAAACTTACTAACAAAACCCACAGAGATGGACGCGATTGGCCTGGTGGAAACTGACCACAGCCAGCCTAACTGGCCCAAATACAGCGACGTGCTCATGGAGACAAGCTCGGAGTCAACCAACATCAGCCGATGGACACGACGCGTAAGCCATGGATGGATGGACAAATGGAGTTTTCATGGAGCTTCGAGGTCACGCTCGTATGGACTGGCCCAGAGAGACTCATGCACATGGGTGGCGTCTCAAGAGTGCCAGTCGACAACACGGCAAGCGCGTTGGTGGGGGCAGAGGGACGGGAGAGACCGAGAGAGGGCCCCCCCCCCGCGCCCCAGCCTCCAGCACAAGCACAACGAATGGGTGATGGATGGGTAATCACCAACAAGCTTTGATTTAAAGCTTTCGTGCCCCTAAACCATCGACGCACGCCTTGGCAGGGCGGAGTACATGATCAGCAGACGACACATTGCGTGAGTTGCGTGGCATTACAGAAATGAGTATGCATTAGTCAGGAAAACCCAGAAGCGTTAAATCAAGTTGTAACGATAACTTGGAGATTATGTATTTAGTGCCACTCAGGCATATCATTAAAATAAATACTCGTGCGTACACATTGCAATGATATACCTCAGCCAATAATCTAATATCCCGCCCGAAGATACTGACATTTCTCGAGAATCGGGGCTCAGTGTTTATGGCCGACCCTTGAGAAGTATGCAACTTGGCGTTACCATGGTTTTCCATCTCCACGGAAACGCCAAGTGAGAATCGCATCACGGTGCTGTGCGACAGCGCCTTAAGCAATGTTGGCGCCTACATCAAAGTGCTCATTGCCAGACAGTCCACGACGTTCGTGCATTTGCTGACGGGAAAACGCCACTTTAAAGAACGTTGGGGATAGACCAATAACGAGTGGGGTGGCAGGGTTAGTGGAGGACATTGCCCTCTCCCCATTTAGCTACACCAACAATATTCCGATTCCTAAACTCCTTCTCTAATCCACGTTTTTTGTTTATGTCACTCAAAATTAGTTCAACTTCACATCGTCAGGGAATTGGCATGGTTTAGCCATTGACGTTCCAGGATTTAATTGTCTGTCCTGTTGGCCCAGTAGGGGGCACAGGTGGTGCATCTACCAGTCATCTCAGTCAACCCACGGCACCTGGGTCTGTCCCGTGACCTCCTGCCAGCGGGCGTTCGACACTTGACGTGGTCTTAACGTGCACATAGCCTGGTACAAGTGCCGTGGTGACGTCACCGCCACTAAGCGGTGAATGGCGGTTGTTGTATAATAAATGGCATGTGCAGTATCGCGTGGGTGACTTCGCTTTGAATGATTTTTTCCTATAATATATAAAATCTTAAAATAACCCAAACTGGAAGAACGTTGTTAATGTCCTAATTTGTAATTACATCACCACACCCATCCCGCAGCAAGGGGTAGAGGCCCGTCCTTCTCAAACTCCTACAAATCCACAGAGAATCACCTTGGCAGCAAGGATGACACCGCAGAACTACTTGTGAAATAATTTTAAAAGGCCATTCTTACCCAACACTGGACGGTGCTCGTTACAACTCTAAACTCGTAACCTCCTTTGTTTTGTGTGCCCTTTGGTGAAGAGTCTACACCACGGGTCGGCAACCCGCGGCTCCGGAGGCCGCGTGCGCCTCTTTAAGTACTGCTTCGTGATGTTTCGTTTTTGTTTGAGGCAATGCGCGGGCCCCGCTGCGTCGCGTTGTGACGTACGTGCACACCGCCGACATAAACAAAGCCGGTGATAGACGGCAGCGGACAGACAGGTGGGCAACGACGGACCCGCTGCCACAAACCCGGCAGGGTCCCACTGGAAGGGGCCAGGGTGTTTTTTTATGACGGACCACCGTCTCCCGTATTCACCGTCTCTCGTATTCACCGTCTCTCGTATTCACCGTCTCTGGTATTCACCGTCTCTGGTATTCACCGTCTCTCGTATTCACCGTCTCCCGTATTCACCGTCTCCCGTATTCACCGTCTCTCGTATTCACCGTCTCCCGTATTCACCGTCTCCCGTATTCACCGTCTCCCGTATTCACCGTCTCTCGTATTCACCGTCTCCCGTATTCACCGTCTCCGGTATTCACCGTCTCT